TAAAGGACCTGTCTCTACCTTCTGATGCTTGTGGGCTAGATGCCCAGAATGCTGGGCATTTCTTAACTGGTCTGCTTGTTTCACCTGTCATTTCCTGTCAGGGTCAAGGAACTCTCCCTGTATCCCCTACCACTCCAGCTCTGAAAAGTCTGTCTCCCTTTCCAAGACAGGCTGGTTCTCACACTCTGCCTGAGAAACTTTGCTCTGTCTGAGAAACCCTCGAAACTGCCAAGTCCTCTGTTCCTCTTTGCTTTTCTGCCTTCGCCTCAGAATCAGATCAATTCATCTGAATAGACTGTAATGTGTGAGAGACAGGCCCACTCTCTACAAGCCCATCACTTCCCTGGGTACTTGATTGTACTGCCCTGTTTGTATGACAGGACAGCTCACTGTGAGTTATTTAATCCAGACTGTCACATGTGTGGTACCACCTTGAATAAGGAACCCCCCACTTGAAGGTTGTTACTGTAGGGATTTGGCCTGCTTCTCTCATAATGCAGCATTCTAAGGTAGATATTTCAGACTCAAGCTAAACTGGAAGATGAGTAGGAGGTGGAATTGTTTCACTGCATTGCTAAGACCAAGAAGTGATGAGATTAGTGAAGCAGCTGGTGAGGACTAGACTGCCTCTGGTTTTGGGGGAGACACTGTGGAATGGGGAGGATCAGAGGGGAAGATAAGTCACTCAATCAGCCTAGTAGTAGATCAAGCAAGTGGACTGATGAAATAACATTTGGCATTCCTACCATCTGGCCTAAGCATGATACAAACCTTCCTGAGGATGGATTCAACTCCATTTGGCAGGGAAGGGAGGAGGGGAATTCACTTTGGAATCAATTTCTGGTTTAAGCAGAATCAAAATCCACTAGAGGACTCCTTAACTTGATAGGTGCCTCTTGCTAACAATCTTTATGTTACTCCCTCTGCATCATAAAGCCAGATGGCCAACATTAACATAATAAAAGACTATAGATCAAGATCCTCTTGATCTGCTGGGATGGGAAATGGAGAGAGATTGTGGAAGATAGACACCTGCTGATGACAAACTTTGCATATTTAGCCTGGTGTTCATGGCTGCCATGACTTACAGCATCTTGTCCAAACCCTCTCTGATTACTTTATTAGGAAGTTGTTTCTGATGTTCAACCAAAATCTGCCCTCCTCCAATTTAAGCCTGTTATTTTATATCCTACGGCCAGGGACAACAGAAAGCCCTCTTCTGTGAGACAATCCTTTAGTTTAGTTGGGCAAAATATGGCCCAAAGGCCACACACACTTCTCACAGTCACCTTTTGCAATATGGCAGTGGGGCAAATATATTCTTTTTAAAACAAACAAACAAACTGGTGTCCAGAGTGGCCATGGAGTCCCAAAAGAGTCAAATGTGTAAGCTAAGAAATGCCATTTTGTTCTAATGTTTAACAATTTTATCCCCTCCCTTGTGTTATGTATGAGGAATATGTTGCCCAGAATGCTCCCCATACCCATCTCTCAAAGCAGCCAACCTCTGCTTTAGATATTTAAAAGGTGCTATCATGCCTCATCATTCATCTCCTCTTAGTGTTAAACATAGTAAGTTCCTTCAATCTGTCCTCACAGGACTAAAATTGAGAACTTTACCAGAAAGTAAGTGGTAAAATGATGAGCGGGATCAGCTGCTGTAGACTGTTAGAAATGGTTTTATCTACTTTGCATTCTCTGTATTTTGTAGCTGGCCATGGTTTGTCTTGCGTACTATTGCTTTACTGCAAATGTGCTTGTCAATGCAGAGAACTTGACACTCTTGTTAGCACAACTCCAGCTGAGGTGTCTGGCATTGCCATCTGCCTGATGTTGTGGGATCAGTTTCAAGTTACTGCTATCTGATGATGTTGACAAGATGCTTGCAGTTGCGTAACTGACCATGTGGTCTCTCAATCCTTGCCTTTCTGGGCTAATAACAGCTAGTTGAGGATTGGTGGGCCAGGGAGTGGTAAATAAATTTTGGTGTGAAGGATGGCTTTTGCTGTTCTGGAGCAGGCAGTAGTACAATCACACCTAAAAAACCACTTTGGATCCACCACTGTTTGATAACTGCAGCCCAGTTGCAAATGTTCCTTTTTTTAGGGAACATACTTAATAGGGCTGTGGCAGAGCAACTGCAGACACTCTTAGAGGATACTAGACTTATTCCAGTCTGGGTTTTAACTGAATCAGTTTTAGCTGCCCTGACAGATAAATTTTATCAGGAGAGGAACAGGGGGCATACAACCCTGTTTATTCAATTTCTTACTGGCTTTTGATACCATTGACCACAATATCCTCCTGGATCAACTCCATGGGTTGGGTATTGGTGGTACTGTGTTAAAGTGCTTCTGATCCTATATGCAGGTTCAAATCCAGAAAATAACACTATATGACTGTTCCTCAGACACCTGGCAATAGAGTGATGGGGTTCTGCAGGGTACTATCTTGTCCCTAATGTTGCTTAATAGCTATATGAAGCTGTGCACATGATCTACCTACACTTTAGCAAAGCTTTCGACATAGTGCCACACAACATTCTGATAAGGAAATTTGCAAAAAGTGAACTTGATATTAGGTGGATCCAAAACTGGCTGCTAAATTGGACACAGAGTGTTCATCAATGGCACCTTCTTAAATTGGATGGAGGTAACCAATGGGATGCCAAAGGGTTCAGTCCTGAGTCCAGTGCTCTTCAACATCCATCCAATGTTTTGGACGAGGAATTACAAGGAAAGAATCAAATTTGCAGACAATACAAAACTGGGTGGAATAGCAAACTCCCTAGAAGACAGAATGAAGATCCAGGGTGATCATGATAAACTTGAACATTGGGCTGAAAGCAACAGAATGAGATTCAGTAAGGACAAGTGCCAAGTCCACCTAGGAAAAAGAAACCACAAATGCTTCGATACAAGATGGGGAATACATGGCTCAAGAGAACTGAACAAGAAAAAGATCTTGGAGTAATTGTGGACAACAGGCTATGAGCCAACAATGTGATGCAGTCACCAAAAGGGCAAATGCTAGTTTGGGATGCATTAACAGAAGTATTACTTCCAAATCATGAGCAGTAGTAGTTTCCCTGTACTCCTCACTAGTCAGACCTCATCTGAAATACTGTGTCCAGTTCTGGGCACCATGATTTAAGGAAGATGCAGAAAAATTAGAAAGGGTGCAGAGAAGGGCAACAAAAATGATCCAGGGTTTGGAAACACTGCCCTATGAGGAGAGACTGAGAGAAGTGGGTATGTTCAGCCTTGAGAAGAGAAGACTGAGGGGAGACATGATATCACTCTATAAGTACCTCAAAGGCTGCCAGAAAGACAAAGGTCAAGATCTCTTCTCACTGATACCAGAATGTAGGACACAGAATAATCAATTCAAGTTGTGACAACCCTAGATATCAGCAAAAGTTTCTGAGTGGGATGGTATAAATCGGTATCCTGCAGGGGTTTCGACCCAATGGCCTTCATGGGCCCTTTCAACTATTCTATTCTATGATTATTTAAAAGCATGCTACCTTGAATGCTTAAAATTGTTAACGGAAATGATACAAGGTAAACTTTCTGTTCTTCAAGCTCTCTATCCTTTCTATCCTTCAAAATAGGAAAAAAAATTCCACCGAAACAAGAGAGCATTGCTTGTCTAGGTTTTTGCCTTCCATTTTCCCAGAAAGGGCAGACATTGTTTTATTGACTTATGCCATGTATATCAAAGCCAAGTACATATTTAATGATTCATAAATGCTACTGTACTTGTTATGTAAGAAAGGCTTGAAAGTCACCCTTCAAAATCCATCTTAGGGACTCCATGAAACATCCCTATTTGCTTGATGCAAAGCAACATAACATTCTTGGCTACATAGCAGACTTGCTTGACTAAGCAAGAGTGAGCCAGAAAACATTCCTCCATGATTCAAACACATAGAATCTACTAGAAAAGGATGCTTGTCTGACAGGCATTAAAGAACTGTCAAAATTTGTCCAGAAAAATATTTCTAGAATCTTGAAATGGTGAACTAAAACAATTTGAATCATGATAAACTGCACAATAAAGAGGTAAATCACAGCATAATTTTGTTTTTTTAAAGAACACTTTCAGTAATACAGATATCCCACACTAGATTTCTTTTTTGATTCTCAAGCAAGAGCAATCCTACAATTAAAAATCCCAAAAGAGAAACAAGTTTAAAACAATGGAAAATATACAGACATGTTACATAATAGTTCCTTTTCCATCAATGAGGAGAAAGTAAGCAAGAAAGAGATTTCCCTTCTAAAGTATAGTACTTAATGAAATATTTGGGTCCACACATATAGCATTTTTGTTAAAGTATCTTTAAAATGTAAGCAACATTTTTATGACAGAAACATGGTACATATATGCACTCAAGTATTTAATTAAGTACTGCAAACAGATGATGAGAATACATTCTTATAAAAGAATTAAGGAAGGAAAAACAGGCTGACACTGAATAATTAGAATGGTCTAGTTACTAAACTCTAATTCATAGGCTCATTCAAATTTTTGCATTATGTCTAACACACTTTAGTTACCCTAAATAATGTCCATCTATATTCAGTAGAAAGCAATAAATCCAACCCCACAACTCCCAATTCTTGCAAGTCCACATCCACCTAGGGACCTGAACACCTAACTTTCTCAGGGTGATGACAGTAGTTATTAATACATGTAATAAGAAGAAATTACTTATCTGTTTTGTTTTGTAATACAGCAAGTGTCATTATGAAATACAATCCTAATCCAATTGGAACTAAGGCAGATTAAGTTCAGTAGAAGAGAGTTACACAAAATTTCCATGGAAACTGTAAATTTAACTGGATCATGCCCTATGGCTTTATCAGTTTATCAAACTATTTCAAAAACGTTATAGGAACATTATTTATAATTTTAAAAATTATCAGGTGATACTTAGATGTATAATGTTTTTTGGAAATTTTTAACCATACCCATTTTATCCCATGCAAACCTACCTTCTTATCATATACATCTTGCCAGTTTATTCCAGCAAAGAAACTGTGTCGCATAATTTCTTTAGCATCATCTGGTCCTCCACCAAGACTATTGGAGGAAAATATAAATTACACATCTTATTAGTGAAAGCAAATACCCCACCCCAGCAAATACTCTTTTTATCTAAACCTTTTACACTTTTTAATTTATATTTTTAATCACCACAGGCAATCAAAGCCATTCTATAAAATAACGTGGCACTTGACAACTAAACTACAAAATTTTTAATTTTTTTTTAAATTGTTTTTAAAAAATAAAAATACACATATCTGATTTGTATGTCTTGATCAACATAGTTTGAAACTCAAGTACTCCCACTTAAACTGGCGGGAACTGCAGTTCAAACAAACTGGTCTGGAAATGTAGGAAGAGCTGACATAGACAGATTTTCAGTATACTGCTTTATATTTTCCTTGAAGATGCAAAGTATGCATTTTGTACAACAACAATGGTACCCAAGACATCCAAGCATAAAATACTTGACCACCTTGGTCTGTCTGTATCACATTGCTTGAAGATGATAAACAGTTTTTGCAAATGTAAATTGAGTGAAACTGCCTCAGTGTTTCCATCCGACGCAGTCTTTATCAAACTGCAGAGACATTTAATAACTAGAATTCTGGAAATACAATTCTGAAGCACAATAGTTTTGGGACACAGTTTTTTGCTTTTTTTTTTACTTTTTCTGCAGCATACTACATTGGCTATAGTACTCACTACTCTTTCTTTTCTGATTTTTGTTGATATTTCTATCTTTAATATTTCTATTTCTTGCAATAATTACGTGCCTCTTACTTTTAATGTCCCTTTCTCACTGCTTCCTTTGAAAAAACAGCAATCTCTAGAGCTAACATCTTTTTTCACACTGTTTCAATAATTTCCTCTTTGGTATGATTATCAGCTATCCTGTTTACATAACCACTGTAAACATTCCCATATTAGGCCAGGGGCAAAAATCATCTTAAAATGAAATCAGGCCTTGTATCTGATTACAGAATTACTCTATATAGATACAGTATTTCAGCTTCTTTTAATGTATTCCTTATTTTATTGTGCTGTTAATACTTTATTAAATCACTTCAGTATAAACATAAATGAATACACGTAAACAAATGTACCCTATCGATGTTCCATTTCAAGTTCTAACCTTTACTTCTATGGGATGTTAATGAGGAGTGCAATTTCTGAGGCATATGAAGAGGCTGCTTTCACACTATCTATATAATCGTCATCCACTCAGATTGCAACTAGTGGAGACAATAGAAGATCCCATATTCTTTTAAATGATGAAGGCAGCTAGTTAGGAGACAGCCAGCTCAGAGGTATGGCATGACACGGAACACATGTTATTTGCACCATAGATGTATGCATATCATACACAAAAGTTCTCTCAGAGAGCAAAATAGTAGTTTTAAGGAGAAAAAATTAGTCATGAAATCAATATGGAGGTCTATGCTAACTCATTCTGCACATTTCTGTGCTCCCAAACCAAGAATCTCAGAAGTTTCTTTTTAAAAAAAACAAGCCAGAAGACCCAATACTGGATTCCATGTCATTCACTTAGTTGTGCCTCAGTATTTGCAGAGAATCCAAATGATGCTATTGCAACACCATTATTTTCCATTATTTCCTATGCTGTTCTCTCATCAGCATCTGCATCATTACATCTGATTTGTGATTATTTACAGGATTTAAGCCTAGCAAATCAGTCTTTAAGCTTTTCTTGGCTACTATATCTTTAAACAACCTTCCTCGTAGCTTGTTCCTATAACTGTTTGTCTAACAGAGATCTGAATTAGCCTTTAACAAGATCAAAACCATCCAATTCCCACTCCCTGATTTCCATTTTTGCAGCAAAAATAATTGCTCATTATTGTGTTTAAATTTTATGAGCACTATTTAACAATATTGCAAAAAATTGAACAATTGCTCTAGAAAATCATAATTATGGTTTCACTGTCTCACTCCCTTAGACACAGTAAGATTAAAATTTAAACATATGCGTAACTAATCTTCTTTTGAACTTACCGTTTATTTGGATCTTTTATTAGGAGACCTGAAAGCAGTGATTTTGCATCAGATGAGAGAGTTCGAGGAAATTTTATATCTTCCATAAGTATGAGTTCAAAAAGTTTTTCATGATCCTGGTTGTAGAATGGCAGCCTGCCACACATCATTTCATACATGACAACTCCAAGACCCCACCAATCCACCGCACGACCATAATCATTGTCTTCCAAAACCTAAAATAGTAATAAAAAGGTACTAACATATATACTAAATGCAAGATCTATAAAAGTTCGGTATGTGCATCCATTTTACAGGACTTACTTTGTAAGTAGCTTGAACCCTATTAATTTGTTTAATTCATCTCTTGAAATCAAGGGTTTGACCAGCTCAACCTGGTCACAGTGTTTGTGCATAAAAGAGTCCTGCTTATTTTACCCATCCTCTACTTCCATTGTGAGAACATATGCTTCGCTGCGATTACTGATCTGTGGAATATGATTGCATAAGTGGCACAGGAACCCACTACTTGGTTTGTAATGTCTTTTTCCCTAGTTGTACCATTTTGTGACCTTTTTATTTATTTTTTTAAATTTGTGCTGAGATGGGGGGCGGGGGGTGTCTCATCCTGAATGCCTGGTAAGAGTCAGCAACCTGAAGGGCCTTCTTCTAAAGTTCAACCTTTGGGCAGTCATCTTGGTATCTCTGGGTCTGTTCTGTAAAGGCCTGGCAAGGCAGACAGACCTCCACAACATGCCCCTCACCCAGGCAGAAGAGGCAGAGGGAATGGCCATCAGAGGAGAGAGATCGCTGTTACAGAGGACACAGCTCTTAAATGCCATCGAGGGTTTCACTGCAGAAGATGGGGAATGTCAGAGAGAACAAAGGCACTCAGTGAGCATGTCAGGAGTGTGGGTAGGAAGCAGATAGAAAATTGTATTTTTGGAAAAAAATAAGATAAAGAGGGAGCCGGTTCACAAAGGAGGAAGGAAAGAGATGCAGGGAAAGGTTTAAAGGAGAAAATGTGAGGGCGGGGGCGGAACTATAGAGACTCTTCTTGAGGAGAGATGCATTTCCCAATCTAGGCACAATGGCAGTCAAAAAGAGATAGGAAGCAGCCTATCCTATGCTCTCCCGGAACAGGAAGGGGAAGGGGTTCCTCCTGAATTTAACACTTAGCTATAGAAGCTTCCTGACAGCAGGCTGTGCACAAGTGCAAAGCCCATACAAAGAAAGACCCAAAAAACCCCCTAGGAATTTATTCATAAAAAATTGTGCATTTATTTTTACATGTTCCAACTCCAGTTATTTTCAAAGTGTTCCCCATTTGATGCAATACACCTACCAAGACGAGTTTTTTTCCACTGCTCAAAACAGGTTTTGAACTCATCGATTTTGATACCTTTCAGTGCTTCTGTCATTTTTTGGTTCATTTCTTCTACATTGGCAAAACATTTCCCTTTGAGGATTTCTTTCAGAGAAAACAACAACAACAAAAAGTCGCACAGGGGAAGATCAGGTGAACAGGGAGGGTGGGGCACAAGGGTCATGCTGTTTTTGGTCAAAAAATGCTGAACACTCAGCAGAACAAAATTTCACCACCACACATTGTTCATGTAAATCAGCCATCACAAAATAGGCAAATGAGTTGAAAGAGACCCCCCCCCAAAAAAAAACCTCACTGAAGCCGAATGCAGCCTCTCACAACAACCCATCTGGGTACCCTGATGCAGATGGGTTCCTAGAACACTCACCTAGCGGGGGACGCCTGTACTACAAGCGCCCTGCCCACCAGAAGATAATTCCTGGGGGGTTGTTTGGATCCCTGCTCATATATATGATACACAAAGACCACAAAGTACAAAGGAGCTTCAGAATGCTCTGATGCTAGAGTACTCCCTGGATGGCCATAGGATTGCTCTGTCTATTTATATTGATCAACAACCACTGAATCTCTGTTGATGCTGTGATGTCCCATTTATTTTGCCTTCTCAACATGTCCTCTTATACAATTGTTTTGAACTGCAGCTATACCTTAAGGCCCTAAGTTTGTAGAGCTGTTTTACTTCCAAAACTTTATTAATGAAAGTGACCCAGAAAGAACACTGAATTCATTTATACCCACTAAGACAGGGATCTACAACACCTTTAACACCTACCTCTGAAGCTCTCTGTTCCTTGCCCCCCTCAAAATTTTATCTTTAAAAGAAAATTTGGAAATAGTTCTTCCTGTTCTGAAACCAGTTGTTGATCAGCCATTTGCTGGTTAAGAATTAGAAAGTTGCTTCTTGGCTCTGCCCAATCTTCATTGCTCACACAGGCCTTTTCCCTTTGAAATCTCCCCCCTCCCCCCATTCCCAGTCTCTAGTCTTGATCTTTTTCTTCCCCTTCCCAGCCCTTCTCTCATCTCTCTCCCGCTCCCTCTCCCGCTCTCTCACACACAGTACCTCACAGCAAAGGAAGAAGTAAGAGTGCCATGTGCAAAGGGTCTCAGCATGGAGTTGAGGTAGAAAAATGTTTGCTTTTAGGACTGGATGCATATGCTTTTCCTTTCAGTCCGCCAAAAGGTAGAGTGGTGTGTGTGTGTGTGTTTGTATGGAATGCTCAGAACAATCACATTTATATATTTATTAGGTTTAGATGCTGCCTGATTAGCTGTAGGCTCTCTGGGTGACTTACATTTAATCAGTACAGCAATACAATACAAAATCAGCAATTACAATAAAACCAATAGTATCAGTAAAATCAATCAATGAGTTTGATCCAAGCATGCATAGGATTACAACCTTTGTTGTGTTTCTGTAGGGACTAATACTTTTCTTGTGACAAGCCAAGTACCCACAGCAGCCATTATGTGAGCAGTCACATACTCCATGGAAAATATTTTGTGGTGGTGCTCACAGAAGTTTCTCAAATTGTTGAACGTGCCCACAGGTTGGTGACCTGTGAAGTAGGGTGTATACCATTGCTAACTAGAGAAAAAGCACAAGTTCTTTCTCTCTCTGGTTCCTCTCCTCCTCCCTCCTCATCCCAGACTGGCCACCATGATGAATATGCAAGACCTGGCTGGGAATTACTGTGACTTGTTGTGTCCTGAGAACCTGATTGTCCTGATTCTAATAAAGTGCTAACAAAGAGCAATTGTTTAAACATGTATGACCAGGAGATCATAAATCTAAAGCTAAAACAAGAAGCAGATACCATTAGGAAGCCACGTTAAAGAGTGGTAAATCTATCATCAAAGGCAAGGATGATGCAAAAGCAAAGTCCTAAGCAACAGCTGAATATTTCAGATGGACTGAGTAGGAATGCCATGTTCAGAAGCAGCAACTTGTTTTCAGCATCAGTTGTTCTTTGAGGCAAGTGTTTATGCTGGCTTGGCTGACCTATACCCTTACTGCACACTTGCAGGCAGTCTACTTGCAATGCTCTTCTCTCTGCTGTGGCCTTGGCTTGTGGGAATGTCTGGATTTTCAACTTGAATCAATTTCATTCTCTGGGGCTTTGAGCTGGTTCCTCCTCTGGCTTAACTGCATGCTTTCTGTTGTATGAGAGGAATGCCAAGGGTCTGCTGGGAGAGTCCTGCTGTTGTCTGGACAACTGTGTCCTGGGCTTTCCCTTCCTATTTCCCAGAAGAGGGACCCGCTTCAGTTAAGGTCATGTCCTCTTTGTCTGCTGCAGTGAAGTCTTGACCAGAGGTAAATCCTCTTCCTCTTCTGAAGAAAAGTCTTTCAGGGGAGGCATGACATCAGCCAGTTGGATTGAGAGTTAAACAATCCTCCCATAACTTTAAAGCAAACCATTGGTTTGGTAAGGGTTGTTTAACCCTCAAATAATCCCCAAAGATAGATTCTCCTAGCAAACCATGGATTTGCCTATTCATAATGCTGGATGGCATACAGCACAGTGCCCCAAGGGTTAATTATCCCATGGTAGGCTCTTGCATTGTCCAAACCAATTAGTTCAGTATCTCACTTACCCAATCACTCAGAAATACTAGTCTCAAGAAAGTGAAAATATACATATCATAATCCTTCTATAATCTCTGCACACTTCACTAAATGCAATATTATCAGAGAATAAACTATGGAACTGATGATATGCTATTTTCCCATTAAAAGAAATATGGAGGGGATCCTATCCTGCATCCCCATCCAGCTGACTAGAACAATGTCTTCATCCCTTTGGATGAAGCAAGAAAAAGTTTCTCCTTGCCAAAGGTCCATATCCCACCAAGAACCATGGTCTTTACTCCAGCTGATTTTTGTCTAGGAAGATTTTTGGCTGGTAAGCAAATGAAGGAAGAGGGACAAAGTCATCCACTGTTGAGGATCCTGCTTTCCTCTCTAATTCAGTTAATGGAAGAGTCAGTCCACTGCCTTACTGAGAAAAAGATCCCCGGAGAAAAATTGACTGAAAAGTGGTAAAGTCAAACCCCCAATAAGGAACTTTTTGCCCCAAGGGTCTTTGGTGGCAGTGGGGGTGCACTTTGCCCTCTTTGCAGCCAGTTTTCATTAAAGAGGACTATTCTATTCTATATAATAAAGAAACTGCTCTATTCAATTGCAGAGGAAAATTGCCTTGGTGGATGCTTCAGTATGGGCACAGTGGTTCTTGCAGGCACTATGACGGAGATCCCTGTTTTAAATCAATTAAACCAACTCATTAACTGACTCTGCTTTGCAGTCCTAATTTTACTGTGCCTTTCATGGCTACGCCACATTAAACAACACAGTACTGAAGTATTACAAATGCTAATTTTAATGAACAAACAAAAAAGCCTGAAAAGCAGCAAAGCTGCCTTTTTTGGGCTCAAGAAAATCTCTTGTATTGAAAATGGGTGGGTTTAAAAGAATTACTCAGAGAAGAAGGATAACTAGGGGTATGTATATTAATATTTAAGGATGTAGTAGTTTCAAAGCTAGCTTCAATAGTATTATTCTGAGATATCAAGTTTTATGAATGCTATGCCTCAGAGAAACAGATGAATAAAATTATATAGCTTCTAGAGGATATTTGTGTGTGCATGTGTGTATGTGTTTTAAGGATAATGAAATTACTCTTACAGCTCAATCTTGTGCATGTTTGCTTAAATGTAAGCTTCGCTTAGTTGAATAGGCCTTACTCCCAAAAGCATATGCAAAGGAGCATGTTCATGTGTATTCGTTATATAATATGTGAGATATAAATGTGGAAAGACAAGCATTTTATCAAGAATACTGTAAAATATATGATCATTTACAATCAAAGTTTTATCCTGAGTTCTTGTTTTGTTAGCTCTAACTTGGCAATCAAATAAATTTTTATTTTTACACTATTACAGAAGTGCATTTTTCTAGGTTTCTAAAACCACCTTATTCAACCTTCCCCATCTGTCACCATCTGCTTCTTTTTAGCATGTACTTTTTGTGTGATCACATAAGCATGTGAAAAATAACTAGCATTCAGATGATTATCTGCTCGTACATTTGAGGACTGGGCATAATAAAAGTGAACTGCCAAAAACATACTTAACACTTTTAATTTTGTTGGGTCTTGCCTGTGAGCTACATTTGCTTTTCAAATTGTTCTACAAACTGGAGGGTTCAGCAAGTACTGCTAACTCAATGGAAAAGCTGGATGTCCAAATAATTAACAGAAGATTAGTTTGCAATGATTCTAATGAATATAAATCGTATTTATATCATGTTCTTATGGGCTTCCAATAATCTATCATTTGAAAGACTGATGAATTCTCTATCTGTTTAGTTTGAATAAAGGTGAAGCAGCAGCTTATATGCAGGGCCTACTGCATGCAATCTTGCTGACACAAAGGAGGGACAATTAAAGGAAACACAGTTACATAGCAGAAGTTTGCCAATGTTTCCTCAAGATATATGTGTCTAAGTTTTGGAAAACTTGCAAAGCAGCAGTTCTATACTTGTACATTAGCTTCCAAGAACACACTCTTGCAGCCTTGGTTTGGCATAAATTTCAAAACACAACAGATGGGCCTATTTTCTCCTTATCAAGAGTATACTATTGTATACCATGATACTAACATAATGAAGTTAGATATTATGGACTGTATCAATTTCATACAAACAAAACATGACTTCCCCTTCCTCATCTCTTTGTCCCCCACTTTGTATCCCCTAACCTCCCAGATCTGATTTTGAGGGCAGTGGGGGAAGAAAAATTGTTCTATCAATAGTCTCTGTTCTGCTGCTGGATGAACACCATTAGATATACCATTGGAAAACATTGTAGTTGCTTTATCCATTGAACTTACTATATGTAGATACACAATCATAATTTCAATAATTATTAGAAAATTAGGGAGAAAAGGTCATCTATTGGTCCCATTGAAAAAAGGGCAGGGATCAAATACCTCCTAGATGCTTCCTCATCTCTGGGAGATTTAGATTTAAATTTTCTGAGACTAGTTCCAGAGCAAAGTCAGAAATGGAGAAAAGAATGAGCAATGCCACATTGTTAGGGCGACATGTAATAATGGTTCAAACAGGAAAAGTGTCAGTTTGTCCAATACGACAGCCCATCATGAGTTAATTTACCTTTCAGGTGTTCTCCCTGGCTTCTCTTTCTTTTTCCCTCTCTCCCCATCCTACACTGGCTACTACAAATACGCAAACCCTGGTTGGGGGTTGTCATGGCTTCTCCTGTTATACAAATCAACAAGCTAGGTTCCCACAAATAAAGTACTGTGGTCCCCACCAAGGCCTTGCATATTCATAATGATGGATGGAACATGCTAGGCACTTTGAGGGTTAGTCAACACATCATAGGCTATCCTGTCATCCAGACTTGATCAATATTTCACTCACTCAACTGGTCAGAAACACTAGCCTGGATACAATGAAAACATGCAACTCCCCATCCCTCTGAATTCTCTGCATACTTAATTGAATTTAATATTATCCAAGTAGAAACCCGCTCACATGGTATTGCTCTATAGGGAGAAATCTGGGGCAAGCCCTGGGCTTGCATACAAATTCCATGCTCCTCTCACAGCATGAAAAAGAGAAAGACTAAAGAGGAAATCCTGCATTCAAAATCTCCTTGATCCTGGTAGATAACACCCAGTCTGAAGCTGATGAAGATATTTATATAAATATTAATGAAAACCTCACAAAAATCACTGTTCACATTGTAAAACATGTTCTAGATAATTAAACTGTTCATGAACAGATATATTAGCAGCGTTCCTTGACCTTTCCCCAGCTTTGCTTTGGATTCAAAATTCCTATCCCTTTATTTTCAGTCATCTAGAATGTGATGCTCTCTTTTAATGGTTTATATTTTCATAAATCTATTAAAAGATTGAGATTAATGTTTCCTCCCCATTTTTCCTAAGAAAAAGACATTCCCCATACAATTACAAGTATAGAGGAATTAACCTCTATAAATATTTTTAAATGGTTCTGCTATAGAAAGTACTAGCTGAATTAAAATATTCATACTAATGCTAAAATTACACATTTTTAAAATTCCCATGAGATAAAGCTATAATAAAGTAACAGCCTCAATAACACTATCTGTCAGTATTTAAATATACAAATTACTGTTAACGAAATACCCTGTAATTATATGACAAGTTTAAAATGTACAAAGTAAAATGCTGACATACCTCAGGAGCCAAGTATTCCGGTGTGCCACAGAATGTTTTCATAGTAGCTGCATCTGTGATCCCTTCTTTGCAAAGTCCAAAATCTGTAATTTTTATGTGTCCATCTTTATCCAACATTAGATTCTCTAACTGTGTTTTACAAATACACAAAAATGTATTTTATTACTTCTTTTAGTTAAAAATAATAGCTTAAAAGAGAACAATGTTGTAGCAATTCTGTTACTCCACTTTCCCTGTAAGTAAGAGCAAACTAGATAAGACATGAAAGATAAGTGATTGGATCTCTCAGTGTTTCTTCCTGTTTTTTTTTAAGTAGCTGCAATACCTCCCAAACTGGATTAGAGTCCACAGCTCTCTCTGGTGAGGGAAAGCTGTGCTATTTTCTCATTTTAATTCCCACCCCTTGCCCATCTGCTTTTACCCAAGGGGCAAATAATAGTTTCTGGGGGCAAATTAGATTAAGCAGCATCTGCAGCTACTTTTAAGGGGGGAAAAAGAAAAATCAAATAGTCCTTATATGATGCTGCCATAATTATCATTTACACCCTCATACTACAATTGCTGTTCTTATAGACAGTATTTCCATTTAGAAAATATGCTAATTTATCCTCCTAGATAATAAAACAAGCTCTGAGCAGACATTGCACCCTCCTTGCAACAGTAATCAGAAAGAAAATGTCTGGCAAATGAAAGATAGCTTAAAAAAATGAGCTCTGGGTCATACTAAAGAAGTACGAGCAGGATGGGGGACACTGCAAGTAGTGGCCTGTGAGTATCTCATCCCCTCCTGGATAATTAACTGGGCCATGTGAATCAGTTCTATGCTAGAAGGCAATGAGATGAGTCATGGTTTCATTCATTGCCAAGAGCATGTCTTAGTAGTCTAAATTCAGTGCAGTTGACAATCTGAATCAATTGGTGCCCAATGGAAAAATTCTCAGATTTCCATGATACTGTAGTCCAAGCAGAGTCTACAATGTTAGTGCCTCTCCAGCTGTAGAGAATCCAGTGAGAGAGAGGTTCTCTCTCATCAGTGTGACAATTTCAAATGTAATAATCAAGAGCTCAATTGCCTGAATAATGCAACAGAAGAACACTGAAATACTGACTCTAGAAACATAGTATTTGACAGATAGATTTATCAACTTACTGATCAAATGCTATCTATTTAAAGCACTCACTTACTGGAAAAATTATGCTAACAAAATTACAGAAACTACAATCTGCTAGGACCCTCCAAAATCAAGCTGTCTCAGAAGCTATAATGAGCACTGTGTCAGTTCATGTAGAGACCCCACTATGCCACAAGTGCAACAGATTTGGTTGTAGTCCTGACTGTGATCTAGGTATGATCATTGCTATTTATTATGTTGTCAATTGGACATGAGGTGTTTCTGAGTCATGGACAAAGTTTCCTCTCAAGACATATAAATCTTCCAAGAAATTACAGCAAAACAAATAATGTGTAGCAAATTTCCTTTGCTACACATGTGAATGCCTGTGAATGGATCATGTTCTATGCATCATTATCACTTGGAGTGGCACTGACCTCAGAGATGCTGTACTGCTTTAAAAAAATGATCTCAGGCAAGATGACAGGTTGTTATTTGACTAAGCAAGAGACATCTAAGTTGTACTTTGAGCTAAGCAACTGGTCTACTTAATGCCAGAAATACAGTACATACAATTATCTACTATTCTTTATTCAACTTATTTATAAATTGCACCTCTTATAAATTGTGACTCCAGATATAAAAATTCAGATTAAAATGTCAATAAAAATAGTATATAAAGAATAGATTGCTACAATAACATGAAGATAGGAAAGAAAAGTCATTACAATAAATTCAGAAAGTGACATCAGAAAACATTAAAAGATCGAGTGTTCACTGCCCAACTAAAGCATAATTAAAAATAAGACTAAACTCATCTCCCTAGGGGGAAAAAATCACAACTGGGGTTCTGCCATGGAAAAGGTGGCCTTGTCTTGAGCATCCCACCTATGAACTCCCAACAGGGCATTCACTGATTATAAATTATAGGCAGGTTCATAGAGAAAGAAGTGGTTCTTCATATTTCTTTACTTCAAACCATTTAAGCCTTTTAAAGTCAGAACTAACACCTTGAATTGTGCCCAGAAACAAAATGGAAGCTAGAGAAATTGTTTCAAGACTGGTGGAATGGGGTCTACAAAGCATACACCTGAAAGAAGTCTAGCAGCCTCACTTTTCAGTAGCTGTAATTTTGGAGCACTCTTCAAAGGGGAGCTTCACATAGAACACATTATAATAATCTAAATGAGAGGTGATTTAGGCATGAATAACTATTTGAATTTATGAATATAGATGAAATATGCACAAGACTGATATGACTTGGCTTTAGTGGCAATGAAGGGACACAGGCACCTACATCCAATATGTTATTCTAGAGTGACTGCTCTAGGAAACATTTATATATGCACATATTCATCACTGTCATCTCCAATAATGGTGCTACTGTAGCAGGCATCTTTTCACTACCAGAAATAAGGATGAAAACCCTCAAGAGAGTGCCAGGCCTAGGCTGAGTCCTTAATCATTCTACCACTTCCACTCTATCAATCTTCCATGTTTGGCGGTTTATGGGAATTCTTATTGGATTGGACCCTTAATATCTATTAACATACGATTGAGAAAAATTATGTGATGAGGATTCCACCAACGAATACATACAGTGACTGAACTATATGTTATCTCCTTTGAAATATGCTTTACTACTTTCAGCAGATCTATGAACATTCCAAAGACCTGTGAAGGATGACAGATCTTTCATATCAATCATCCATCACTCCATGAAAAGGGCACATTACAAAATATACATTGCAAGACCCTGTGCATAGTGAATGTGTTGACCACTTTGTGATCTTACGCTAGAGAATAGTGTGAGAACTATCACACACACGTCGGAACCTCCCTTTATCCTTGATTTAGTACTATTAATTGTCTTCTGATACTACTGAACAATCTGAACAATTTAGGAGTGTTTCCCCTAAACTAACCTTGAAGTTCCAGTTCTGAAACACTTAACAATCTATATCCCCTAGACTATTTTGTAGTTCACATTACTTTCTTCAGTAGTGCAAATACAGGCACTTCACTCCTAATTTGGGAATTTTAGCTCCTGATGAAGGTTTTACAATTTAAGGCCTAGTTCTCAAAAACTGAACATGGAAAAGAGAAATCAATTTCTAGATTGTACCACTTCACTGCAGGCAAAGATTTACAAATGCTGTTCGAAACATAAAATCCATCTCAGCATTCTGGCCTTGCTCTGTCCCTAACATACTAATTTTCTGTGTACCTAAATTTTTAATAAGGATGGACATTTAGCTGTGTGAGCCTCCAACTGCAATCTGAAATTGTACACTCTTGAAAAATGAGTTTACCTTGCTAACTGCTGTATGTATATTATATTTATATTGTGCCTTTTTTCCTGCTAAGGTGGTTTACAGAATATTCTTTACATTGTTCTCCTCCCAACAAAGGTAGATTAGGCTGCAAGAGAGTGACTGGCCCAATGTCACCCAGTGACCTTCATGGACAAGTAGGGACTGGAACCTGGATCTCCCAAGCCTCAGTCCAACGCCCTAACCACCACACCACAGCAGCTCCCATTGATTTTGATTACAAGGTAGGGCTTAATCCTGCATCTACACTTTGCAGATTCCCCACTTCAGCTGCAAACTCTGAACAATTATAGTTATGTGCTATCACATCCAGTTTGTCTTGACTGCTTCAGTTCCAAACCCCTGCAAAAACAGCCTTGGAATTATCATTCCCAGATATGGGAATAGTCTAGAGGAAGACAAGCCAAGATAAGAAAGCAGCACAATGAGAAGGAAATGTCATTACGATGGTTGTCTACTTTTGATTTATATTTAATCACTTTCCAGTGATGAAGAGAATGAAATCTTTCAGTGACCTGCAACTTTCCCCAGAATTTTTTCACCACAACACTGTAAATAATGTATGTTTCTTGATATTTATTTATACTGTATTGATTTGATTGGTATCCCACCTTTCTACCAAAAAGTGGCATTCAAGGTATCTTACAGGTGCAATTAACATTAATTCAAACAATAAAACAATGCACTGAAATAAAACCATAACAATTACAGAAGTTTAAAAAAAACCTAACAGACCCAGTTATAGGCCAAAGAATATCTTGAATAAATCAGTTTTTGTCTACCAGTGGAAGGACAGTAGAGGAGAAACAAATCTAGCCTCCCATGGGAGAGCATTCCACAATCTTGGGGTGGCCACCAAAAAGACCCTCTTTTATAACCATCAAATGCACCCCTGAAAGCAGTGGTCTAAATGGCTCAAATCCTAAGGATACAATCAGACTGTTCTGATGTCAAAGCAACAAGTGCTTCTGAACAACGCAGTACAATGTGGACATTAACACTTTTATACAAATTTAATAAATAAATAATGTTGCACTAGCATAAGTGAAGTCTCGCACAATGCCAAAAAGTTTGCCTAGCAAATTTGCTGCACCAGGTAAGACTATTAGCACTGTGCTAAACATGCTAGTGCAATGTAATTTAGATTAGTGCTAATGTTCACTTGGATACTTCCCTCAGTTCACAATCAGCTAGCATGTCCCAGATTTTGGGAGAACAGTTGATGGAACTGGAACTGCTAAGAACACCTAAAGGAATAGTGTTGATTCATCTCCAAACAAGTAATAGATCTTATGTCTAAGAAGCAGAGCTATAGGCAATGGAAATAATGCATAGGAAGCACTGAGAATCTGGGGGTGTGAATACATGAAAGTAGCAATTCTATTACAGAAAAAAGGGGAGTTCACACTCATTATGAATTATGGGTAACAGCAATTGTAAAGTTTTATTACCCAAGCTCAAATGTTTACTTATCTTCTTACTCAATCACTGATGCTGAATAAATCATTTTATAAATGATATGTTTTTAAGATAAGATAGTAGTACAAGTTAAATGATGACTTTCCAAGAACAAATGCATGAATTGACAACTTGCCATATCTAGGACAAAATGTATGTTTCTTTCCTTATTTGTAAGCTCTCAGGAATGGTCAATTGAGGACTCAAATTCATACCTAATTTATTGATAGCTAGGTTATGTTGAAAACTACTTCTTTAATAAGATTTTAGGGTCATTATTTTTTATTTTAAAAAAATTAACATATTGTTCCAGTGAGCAGTATCCAAGTGGACACTAGCACTAATATAAATTATGTTGCACTCGTATAAGTGAATTCAAGCATAATACCAATAAATTCTCCTGGAAAATTTTTTGTTCCAGCCAAGACTATTAGCATTGTTGTTATTTTAATGTGACTGTATGGATCACTATGAGAAGAACTACAATTACACATAAGCAACCTATTTTTCTTCTTTGTGGCTTCTTTATTTCAACCTCAGGGAGAATAACAAGCGATCTTATTTGTAGCCAGGGAAGTGGCCAGATGCAACAGCAGAGCTCAACAAAGCTCTTCAGAAGGATACATCTACTTGAGCACAGATATCAAATCCACAAAGTCAGATGAATGTTAAAGGCTGACAACAGATGGCAGTCTACCACAATTCAGGATATGATTCCATCACCCTATATTAGAGAGCATGCTACAGAGTTTGCTAAGTGAGCATGGACACTGATCAGGATAAGCAGACCAGGTAGTTCAACAACAGTGTTTGCAGGTGGAAGAAATGTACTTTTCTTAGCAAGAAATGCATTCCATTGACACTAACTGATCCCACTAGGACAATCACAACAAATACAAAACAAGGGGTCCAACTGGAAACTATTTGGTCTATCTGTCTATTTATGTTCAATGCTCTACACATTCCAATGCAAGCAGTGAGAGTTCCAAGGTCTACAGTGGATTAGACCGAAACACTGAAAGAATAACCTCCGTGGTGGAGGTTAATTGAGACAATTGACTTAGAAAACAATATTACAAAAGACAAAGCCAAGACTGAATATAATTACAAGTATCAATGGGGCATGACCTTCTGCATCCACTGCGAAAAGTGCACACTCCCATAATGATACCTGAAGATAAGTAGTCCTATGTGTGTCTTTGTGTGTCTTGTGAATTTTTGACAATGGATCAGAAACGGACCGCTCACTCCTTTCCCAAACAAAACAGGCAACAGTTACTGCTATTTGATGAAGGAAACTTGCTGCCTCTTTTAAGAACTTGTCGTGCCACAGATGTCTAGCTTGTATAGAGAAAACATTCAGAAAACATAAAGATCATCAAAATGCAATAAAGTGCAACATTTGAAAGAGACAGAGAAAACTGAAGATTAAGGAAAGGAAGAATGAAGAAAAAGGAGGAAAACACAAACATCTCTCACTTTTCCACTGAGAGATTTGTAATCAGAGTATTTCCTCTTATAGCCAATAGGGCATTAAAAACAATAAAAAAGTCAAATATCTAACATGAGGGCATAAATCATGAGCATTCCAATACTCATTTGATGCAAAACTATAATTAAAATACAACTTCCATTTTTAAAATCCTGTAAGTAATCTGGCTTCACTTATTCAATTAGATCACCTTTGCTGTCCACTGCTCTTTCTTCACAATACTATCTACAATTTGCTTAGCTACTATCATGAACAATACAACATGATGGGATACACATTCATGCATGTCTGAAAGTAAGTATCTGTTACATCATTTGTTGACTGTCCTATGCACTGCCACAAATAAGGTAGACATTTTGTTCCAGAAGAATCATACAGTAAGCAGAAAAGCAGGTAACAGAATGAGCCCCTTCTACGGCCATCCACAGAAACATAACCTGTCCCTTTCAGAAACATGATTAAACAAGCTTTCCAGATAAGCAGGTTACATCTACTAAAATCTGAGGTTTCTAAATTCTTACCTAATCTGTGGAAATTTGATGTTTATAAAATGCTTTGCAAATTATTAAATTATTTTTATGATGGTGTGCCATGGGGAGGAATGATTATTATTAATAATTTCCCTGTCCATAAATGTGTGAAATTAATACACAGGCTGGAAGCCATGTACTACTACACACTATACATGTATCATATTGCCACACTGTTTCTTGACACATCTGAGCCTGGCCTCCTGATTTCTTTAGTTCATACCAGTATTACTTTAGGAATCTTGAATTTGTCATTTCATTTAATCTACACCAATCATACTCTTACCTACTCTTAATCTGATGGAATGTATGCCAGTTTCTGCTGTCAGGAGTGTGTTAGGTATCCATGGAGTTAGAGCAAGGATTTTAAGAATCCATTTCATGTGACTTACAGTGGGGCTATATTTGCCATATTCCAAATCTACTGAGTGGATTTGTAAGAGAAAGTTCTGATGATGATGCCACTGCAGAACTAAACAAGGAACTGAAGAGAAAGATGGGGGTGACACTCTTTTGAGCAGGCATGCTGAGAGCTTAGAATCCCATAGTGACAAAACTGATCAGAAAGAGCTCATACCAGTGGATGTAAATTCCAGAAGCTCCAGTGATCGGATGAGAAGGGAAACTCACTCCAAGTCCTCCCCACATGATTGTAAGCATTTCCACCTGGAGTAGATGCCAAGCAGGCTTTTATCTGCTGGCCTGAAGCAGGGTGGTCACACCCTAAGTACAATGACCCCGAAGTGTATGCCGCCAAAAGCAGTTGCTTCTTTGTGGGGGTCGCTGCTTGGGGATACAAGGAATATACTCAACAGATAAATTATTGGTATGAGATGAATAAGAGCTGATAACACACAGCAGGAAAATGACTGTCTTGACATTAGCTGACTCCTCTTGAGCCCATCATAACAACAACAACAACAACAAAACAACAACAACGTATCAACTGGAAACTACTTGGTCTATCAATAATATGACCAGTGTTCTGCACAATTCAATGTCCCATTTGAACAGGGATAGTCTGGCTTCAGTAATCTACATTCACGTAACCTCTAAATTAGATTACTGCAATGTATTATATGTGGGGGCTGCCTGTGAAGACTGTTCAGAAACTACAGCTTGAGCAAAATGTGTCAGCCAGAATATAAAAATGGACCAGAAAGTCTGAAAAAAATAACACAACACCTGCATATTTGTATTGCCTGCTTATATGCTTCTGAGCCCAGTTCAAGGAGCTGGCCCTGACCTATAAAACTTGGGGTCACAATACCTGATGGAATGTCCCTACCAAATATCTACCCAAACCCCACCCCAACCATGCCTCCAATTGCTACCTCTGAGGAGACATAGTTGGTGGTGACAAAGAGAAGTCTATCAGTTATGGAGGAAGTGCCCTACTACAGCCTGCCTGGCAGTAACTATAATATCTCTTTGATACCAGGTTAAGACTATCCTCTATGACAAGGCATTTAATTAGTTTTAATACAATATTTTGACATGATATGGTGTGCTTAACAGACATGTGATTAAATTTTTGTATGCTAGTGTAGCTTTTTATTTTATTTAAATCTAGCTTTTAAATTTTGTATTGTAATGTTTAGATTTTTAGTGTTATCTGTATGTTACATGGGGGTTTTTTGGGAGGTGGTATTCTATGTCTGTTAGAGTTTCAGCTACTGGCTGATACAGAAATAAAATTAGTGATAAATTAAATTTCATAATAACTGACAGACTTCAAGCAATCTTTAAAAAAGGAAAAAAGTGGGGAAAGGCATTAACACATACAAGCTGAAGTTCCATTACTCTAACATTATTCATATAACGTTGCTCCACTTTTCGAAATTAACAATTATTTTAACAATAATAATTTGGTACTTGTGATTTTAGATGTACTTAATGAAGAAAGCATTAATGACATTTACACAGTCCCCTTTTTGGTGCAAATATAGAAAATGTTTTATATTAGGATATAGTATGGAACTAAATACTCTCATACTAGTCTCAATATTCTGTAGTATGTATGAAACTGAATAATCAGTCAACTTCAATCTACAGCAGGTTTTTTCCTTCTCTATTACTTACTTTTCTCAAAATAATGTAACTTTATAATTACTTTGTGTTTGTCCCAATAGTCTTTTTTAAAAGCGTTTTGATTACATTTTCTTTTTTTCTTTTTACCTTGAGATCACGATACACAATCTTTCCAGAATGCAGATAGTCCAGAGCAGAAACAATTTCTGCACCATAGAAGCGTGTGCGATCCTCAGAGAACACCCGCTCTCTCGACAAATGGAAAAACAGCTGCAGGGTAAACAGCAGGGACAGGATTGCAATAATTACTGATTTAGTGGGGGAAATTAACACAAACATAAAACACCTCTCATCACCATATTGTGATGATAGATAGTGTACTCTCAGTGGACACTCAGCACTCTTAGACAGCAGCTGGCTTATCTTTTCCAGGTTTCCAAGGGGAAAAAACGAGCTGTTAAATCAGCATTTTAATCAATATACCAATCTTGTTTAAGGCATTCTGCTTGCTACCCATTTAACCTTCAGTTACCAAAGGAAAAAAGTGCACCATCATCATTCTGTACTTATTTCTTTCATCCCTTTCCTCAATATTTTTTAAAAAACTTTAGTAAAGAAAGCAACTGGAATTATATAGTACATGCACACACGTTCAAGGAGTTCAGTAACTTACAACTGATAAATTATATGAGCTTATATCTTGAGCACAGTCCTCAAAGTGTACCTTGGGTATTCAGAAATTTTCTTTCATTTAAAAGTTATTGTACTGTATAAATATCCATTTAAAAAAACACCTCTGGTTGGTAGTTGGAGCCCTTTCCACCCTCACACTTTCAATAAAGCTGTGCTAAGAGCAACTTATCTTTTACATGAGGGATTTCATACAATGACTTTCCCAGTTGGACATATCCATTCCTTCACATTAGATATCAGTTATTACACTTACAAATGTCAACCTATCTATTGCCCTACAGCAAATATGTAAGATACACAAAAAAACAAACAAACCAGTCTTAAGAGTTTATTGTGACTTGATAAGTGAATGGATTTTAAATAATGCACCCACACTTTAAAAGAATCCTCAATTTGCCTCTTTTCTTCTATTTGATTAAAATCTCAATCATAACTTTCAAAACCTGATAAATGCCAGCATATATTCATAATATAATGTTGGAAAACATATAATGGTATCAAAAATTCAACACATCAGTCATCGGCAAAAAGGTTTCACAACAAAAATAATAGTGACAATACACATTCATTTATTTATATTCTTTAGTAACTAAGCCTGTGTTGGCCTGCCATTCTACTTGGTAGAAATGCCAACCAGTTTTTTCTCAGAACTACTGAAGATTCACTGGCAATACTACTGCAGCAGTACTTAAAAGGAAAAAAAATCCCCAAAGCCCCTTGTACTGTCAACCCTAATCCTGTTTTAATCAGCTTTATAATCTGAAATTAACTAACCTTTTTTCCCAAAGTCTTCCAGACAAAGGAAAGTGGTTCAAAAAACACTTGTAGCCTTACATCTGTACCACCGTTAGCCCTGGTATAAATTAACCAGAGTTAGAAAAATAATTTTATTACATTCTATTGCAGAGGGCCAAAAGGATTGATTGATGTGGAAGGAAGTACCAGATACTGCAAATTGGACTGAAAGTTGCAACTCTTCCAAAATGAGGAGTTTCACATTCTGACAATCAGACTCCTCAAATAGACTTTTCTGAACAACTACCAATCATATTCCCTTTTTATTTTAATGGAAACATATGCTAAAAATAGCACTATTGTTTCAGCAAATTAAGGAAAGTAAACAAGCACGACAAAACAATTTAAATGTAGCAGAGTAGTATTTTAAAATTTCCAAATGTAGTCCTCAGTATACCAATATTGTTGAAAGCTGGCCATTGAGACAAAAGAAAGAGAGAAGTTTTACGATTGCTTTTGAGCCATGTAGCAGTAACTTAAGCTATAACAGAAATTTTACTTTTTTTAAAATAGCAGGGCAATATAGTCTGATCTAGATTTTCATATCCATCTTCAGATAACCTTAGCAGATAAGAAGTTCTCAGGGAAGACTACTTATAAGGGAGGTGGGTTCAACAGTAACATACTCCTGCATGTTGAGAAGTGCACACAGGTGGGAATGACAAATATTCCCTTTTAAAGGAAACAATGTTAAAGTGGTTTTAATTATAGCAATAATATATGTTATCAAGGTAAAATATACCTCTGCACTACCTACTTAATCAGAACTACATTGCAACACCAATACCACCATTACTTCCCCACTGTCTGACTTACCTCTCCTCCATTGACATACTCCATCACAAAACACAAACGGTCCTTGGTCTGAAATGAATATTTCAAAGACTTTAAAAAAAGAAGAAGAAAAAGAAGAACAATTGTAGTTATGGAATCTTCCAAAAGAGAGAACAAAGGCAACACTGAGATTTTGTTTTAAATCAGGTGCTACACAAACCTAAACACAACTAACCAGCAATGAATCCCACTTAAGTTCAATGGGACCTACGCCCAGGTAAATAAAGATAGGGACTGTAGCTTTAGGTACATAAAAGGATAATCTAATTTCCAAATAAAGACTGTTCAGTTAGAAAACAATTGAAAGCATATTTAACATGTACATGTTATACATACTACAATAAATGTGAAAAATATAATTAAAGGTTAGCATTCACATATGAATACAGATAATCCCAGAAAAAAAATCTGTGCATGTTTGAACTCTGAAAATTAAACTAGTAAATACTGACAACTGTCTAAATAGAATTGATAGCATTCACATAAATATCAAGTGTTCAAATTTTGGATATTTTTATTTTGACATTTTACATAATTTTATCTTTATTATCTTTGAGGATGGAGGATGTAAATGCCAGATGACTGGAGAAAAGCTAATGCTGTCTCCATCTTCAGGAAGGGAAAAAAGGAAGTACCTAGAAACTACAGACCAGTCAGTCTGACATCAATTCCTGGGAAAATTCTGGAGCAGATTATAAAGCAGTCAATCTGCAGACACCTTGAAAAGAATGCAGTGATTACTAGAAGCCAACAATGCTTTGTCAAAACAAATTCTGCCAGATTTCATTTTTTGATTGGGTACCCTCCCTGGTGGACTGTGGGAATGCTGTGGACATAATCTATCAGCAATGCATTTAACAAAGTGCCACATAGTATCCTGATTAGCAAACTGTGGCTCTTTTTATATTGCTTTTATACATATTTTAATTCATTGTGTTTTAATAGGTTTTTAATGTGTTATATTTGGTTTAATATGTTTCTGTAGCATAAGCCACCTAGGGAGGCCTCGGCAGTTATAGGTGGCCTATAAATACACGTATAAATAAATAAATACACAGACACGCTGGAAAGGGTTCAGAAGAGGGCAACAAAAAAGAAAGAATTGGGCTTGTTTAATCTTGAGCAGAGAAGATTAGGGGAGATTAGGGGACTGAGGGGAGGTATGATAACATTCCACAAGTATGTGAAAAGTTATCAGAAAGAGGAAGGACAAGATCTCTCCTTGATCATCCCAGAGTGCAGGACATGGAATAACAGACTCAAGTTACAGGAAGACAGCTGAACATCAAGAAGAACACGCCAACTGTTATTGCCTTAAGACAATGGAACCAACTACCTAGGGAGGTTGTGGGATTTCCCACAACTAGTCATTCAAGATGCAGCTTGACAACCATCTAAAAAGGATGCCTTAACTGGGATCTACACTGAGCAAGAGAGTGCACCCAATGGCCTTCCTGGCTCCTTCCAAGTCTACTATTCTATGATTCCATGATCTTATTCTGTTATTTATAGTCAAAGTACCAACAACTACCAACTATCTGGTAAAGAAAAATCCATCATACAACACAAATCTCCAAGATAAGTAACATTCCACAATTAAAATATGGAGGAAGTTAATAGTAAAGGTTCAAAAACAGCTCCAATCCAATCCAGCAACTATCAAACTCAAGGCCTGCTAAAACAGATGGCTCACATACCAGTACAAGTGACAGAAGAGAAGTGGTCTGATGGATTTCTTCAGAAAAGGTATTTAGTAACATAAATATGCTTTGGGGTCCAAAGACAATGTAAAAACATTCACACCACCAACTTCCTTATGGCTTGGTATAATTTACATAATTCAGATAGGAACAAACTGACATAGCATGCAATAAGAGTACTAAATTTTCCTATCTTTTAAAAACAAAGGAAGAAACAAAATATTGAAGTGGCACATTCTAAATGCTGTTTCATAATATGTGGTCCTTGTATCTGGTACATAATTGATGTCATAAAAGATACAACACCAGTAGCCACAACATATATCTAAATGAGGGGCCCATTTTCTTTTCTTTTTTCACCATGTATGTAGCTGATGAAAGCTGATGTCCTCCATCTGTTTAGTCCAGCACTATCATGTGAACATTAACACTGGCAATTGGCACAGAGAACATATAAGTTGATGTAAATACCACAGGACCAAAAATGTCCTGTATCTTGAGTTGTATTTACCAGACGACCTGACATCCACAAGGTAAATCATAAGGCTCCAGATTACCCTCAGGTTACAATTATTTATTTATTTATTTATTTATTTGAAACATTTCTATGCCGCTCCCATTGCAACAAAGCCTTGGGGTGGCTCACAAATTACTAGAGTACTGTATATGTTCAGTTTATGAAAATATGATTTCTGATCTTACACAAGATGAAAATACACAAGACATAAGACAAAAAAAAAGACACTGAGTTTTCATGAATCGGTTGTGAAGAAAGTTGAAACAGCAAGTTGAAAAAATGAAACATATCACAATAATTCATAGGCAAAGGTCAAACATGATGCAAGAGCGCATGACTAAAACTGCTCTATGAGGTGAAGCAGCACCATGGGGTGTGAAATTAGTATTTTATGAAAACAGCTTTGAAGGTTGGTCATCATTCCTAGCACAAAATCTTACTGTCTCAATGATATATTTCTATCACGGATAATCCAGAAGAATAAAGCATTTAAACATTTTTAAAGCTTAGAACAGAAACTCTCAGTTTTTCAGCTAAAATACAAAGGATAATACTCATGAAAAGGCACAGGAAGCAGACTTCAGTGCAGCTGACAAACTAACTTCTGATGAAGATAAAGTTAACATAACTGCAGTATAAGAACACCCTTAGTCCTACTCAAGTTATTATACCTGGGGAAACTAATCACATAAGCAGGAACAAGCATGAACAAGGCCATAGTAAAGCTGTATACCTCAGTACAGTGATTCATGTAGTATGCATGAACACCTATAGTAGATTTACACTGGTATGCAACATCAAGGGTGTGGCTATTTAGTGTGTTCAGTGGTACTCAGTATAGATACATTCCTGCTCATGAGCAGAGTTTCCCCACTTATAGTAACACCTGAATAGGATATCTAGTAATCAGAGAAACACCTGCTAGAACCTCTGAGACAACAAAACCCAGAAATAATTTCAAAGTTACTTTCCAAAGTATATAAGGGAAGTTACTTTTAGTGTGCCCAAAATATTTTGGAAACAGCATAATACAAACATATGTGAACATTCACTCATCAATTCTAGTATTTATATGCTGCTTCCCAGAACAATGCCCTCCTAAGGCAACTCACATAGGATATCTGAAAACAAATCTTCAGCTATACAAATACAGTGGTGCCTCATAATTCAAATGACCCTAGGTTTTAACATTCCAGAGTCTGAACACTAAAATCAAACTAAAATCGCTCCAAAGTTCAAACAACACTTCTAAGTTCAAACTTCACGCACAGTGAAAAAATGTGGTTATTGTGAAAATGTCATCTCTTGCATGTTCAAGTTTTCCATAGTTTTCAGTGCCTTTCCAGTGCGTAGCATTTCAATATTTTCAGTGTATTGGGTATTGCTTAGGGTCTGGGAACAGATTAATTCACTTTCCATTATTTCTAATGGAGAAAATAGATTTGGACTTTGAACAATTCAAAGTTCAAACAGCCCCCTGAAATGAATTAAGTTCAAAATGCAAGGCACCACTGTAATAACTAAATAACAAAAAACAGCAACAATACAGCAATACAAAATCAGTATTTTGAGCTCTGAGCTGCACTAAGAAACATCATGTACAGAGACAGATAACTTAAGTATCTTGATGACATACTTGTACTTTTGCTTCTCATCCATGCTGATTTGGCATTTACTTAAGACTTGTTCATAATGAGAATCACTCACTATTACATTCACAAATTCTTCTCATGTATTTGTGTACATGTGTATGGAATTGCAAGAAGAATTCCCACAGCTAGCCATTCTATAAATAAAAACTAAGCTAGCCTGCATTTAAATTTCTTGTTTGCTTGTTCATTTTATTTTTTAATAGTTCTTTTCCTGGCATGCCAAGGCACTGCCTCTCAAACTGGGGGTTAGGAGACCACTAATGCCTCTTTCAGGTGGGTCTCAGAATTGCAGACTGCCCAGTGCCTCTTTGCCTGACTGCCCCTGTACAATGGCTGTTCTGCTGCATAGACAGAAGCGGCAGCAGGAGTTGGTTAGAGGATGTGGGGAAAGGGAAAAAACTATTTAAAACAAACAGCTTTCTCAACTTGTAGCAGGGTCCCTACCTTTTTTGTATTGGTGGGCACTTAGGAAATTTTGAGGCAGTATCATGGGTACCCTCACAAGATGGCTGCCATGGAGGCTTCATCATTCATAAAATAGTTACAAGGGTGCTTATGGCCAATCCAAAACTAAACTTCACTTGTTTCTCAGAAGGCACATTAAGAAAAATTGGGAGCAGAGGGACTCAGTATAGGGAAGAGGAGGATGCCTAAATTTCAAGGTTACCCTGAGCCTAGTAAAATTTCTCTTTTGTGTGTGTTTATAATGGCATTTGATATCAGAGTAAATCTAAACCTTGAAACCAAAATTACATTCAACTGAATGGTATCTGATTAAATATTTTGGATTAAACCTGAAGTCCAAATGTAGATCATTGTGGAGTGTCTTCTTTAAAGTCTACCTATTTCATTAAAACCGCCTCATAACTTGGCTGTTTCAACAGGCTTTGAATGGCAGTGTGTGTGTGTGTGAACTGGATAGCTTTTTAGTGATAATGCCGTGCCTCTTTTAAATTAGTTTGTTGTTGTATGCCAATGGTTTAGTTGTTATTTTGTAATGTATTTAATTATATTATATATTCTATAACTTTTAATTTGTTTGTTCTTCTAAGTTTTCAACTTTAAATCAGTTTAGACTTCTGCTTACAGAGAGGACATTTTCATGAATTTATCCTTCCTCATACAGTGTCCACATTCCACTTTCAAGAAGAGAGCTTTGGATGTGTAGGGGCTACTAGGAAAAAGCAACTGGGGAATTGGAAGAAAACACATTTACTACAACTTTTTAAGCAATGTATGAGTGAAACTCCATCCATGACATGCCTAAATCAAATTCACTTCTTGCTTTCATTTGCCTTTGGATTACCTGCTCTGGATTAACTGTTTTTAAAGAAATGCAGGATGTAAGTTATGTAAAGGGAATACATTTTTAAAGTTTAACCAGAATACCATCAGAGGTGTTATTACTCATTATAGAGTACACCACAAGGGAAGTTGTATATTTGTATCACTTGATTTAAATAGGGGAGGGTGCTGCACTTTTAATACATGTACAGGAGAAATAATTTCAGGAGGTGTAGTTTGCATGACAAGTTTCTCCTCCAGATATCATTTCACTTCTATACAGCCTGGTAGCTGAGGCCACTCTCTTCTATATGATGACAGACAGTGCAGGGAACCCTGACCTCTTTTACATCTGAAGAGATCTAAATGAGTATCTCCTAAAGGGCCTTATTAGGCTATTACACAGGCCATTATTAAGTGTTGAGGCCACAAAATTTATTTTTGCAAATAGGTGAAATATTTAGTTATTGAAAACATACCTATAGTGTATTTGCATTCAATTTCTAGAGTTAGGGTTGGATGTAGAAATCTCTTGCTAAAAGCCACCATGTATCTTCTTCTATATGCACTGGGAACTATTTCTCTTCCCATTCCAAAAAAACCTCCAAAACCTGACTATACTACCTATGTACCTTTACACCTAAAATCATCACATGGTAAATGTATACAGAATTACTAACATAATTACCTATACTCACCGTTAAAAAGGGATGTCTAGTGTTTTTAAGCACTCTACTTTCTGTAAGTGTGTGAGCCACTTCATCCTAAAAAGTAAACAATAATTGAGTAGTTCCAGAAAGAGTTTGGAATATCTTAAAATAAACATATTTAAAGGAATTGAGGAAGTATAAATGTATAAAAAATCCTGCATGTTATTTGTCATGCAAAACATACAGTGGTAACTCGGCTCACGAACGCCTCAGTTCACGATCAAATCAAGTCGCAAACAAAAATTTCATAAAAATTTTTGCTCAGGTCGCAAACTCCACATTGGGTGGCGACCGTGATCATGGCCATCTCCCCCTGCCCCGAGTGGGAAGATGGCCACGATCATGCTGGGGCAGGGGAGATGGCCGAGATTGCGCCTGGCTTTTTTGCATGAGTGCAACCGCGATCTTGGGCATCTCCCCCCCCAGAACGACTGCACCCATCTCCCCCCCCCGAGCATGCCCGCGTTCCCGCCCGTCTCTCCCCCCTCCCAGGGCACCTGCGTTCCTGCTCGTCTCTTCCCCCTCCCAGCGCGCCCGCGTTACCATCCATCTCTCCCCCCTCCCAGCGTGCCAGATGACGGGCGCATGCAGGGATGACGGGCGCATGCAGGGATGACGGGCGTGATCCCAGTCATGCTCGGAGGGTGATGTGATGGATGCGCTCATGCTCAGGGTGGGGTGGGGAGATGGCCACGATCTTTGTTGTTCTTTGTCACTTTGCTTCACATTTTTCTGATTAAAAAAAATAGTCACAGAACGGATTAACCTTATTTACATTGCACCTTATGGGGAAATTTAACTTGGCTCACGACCAATTTGGGTCATGACCAGAGTCCTGGAATGGATTAAGTTCATGAGCCAAGGTACCACTGTATATCTACAAAAAATAATTTGGATATAAAACTGAAATAGCATAATGTCTGCAATATATATTTTTACAGTAGAACTACAAATTTTAAAACTGAATTATGAATCCAATGCTTCCTGAGTTAAAAGAACTGCCTAGTTTTCCTCTCCCTGCCTCCCTTAGAAAATTACTATTTAAAAAAAAATACTTTCATTGAAGTATGCTAGCAAAAGTCTGTACTGTTAAAATACAGAGTTATAGTCTGCAATTGCTCGTGTGATGTGGCTGTAAGACAAAACAAGACAAAACAAGTCAAAACAAGACACTTTCCCCAAGGAGGAAAAAAAGTTATTCTGGGAAAGAACCGCACCTATATGCTAATGTATTAAGTAGCCTTAATCTATGATCAATCAGAAGACTTCTAATAAGAAAAACAAGGGAGATAGTGAAAAATTAGTTTACTTTACCACTAAGTCTGTCTTTTAGCCTATAAGCATTTGCATGCATGCTTGCATGTGTTATAAATACATACATATGGACTAATTTAAGTTGAAAGTTAATGTTCCTATCAACCAGTCATTGTATCATGCCTCGTGGAAACTGTATATTATCTGTCCATGAGAAGAAATTGTGCACATTTCCTGGTCAATATGATTACATTTCAACAGGCCTTGGTTGAAGTGTATATTTCAAGTGCATTTTGTACATCCTCCAAGCAATTTGCAATGGTCAGTATCCCACTGTATGTTGGAAAGTACATAAATAATAATAATAATAATAATAATAATAATAATAATAATAGAACATTTCTATGCTGCCCCTTGCCGAAGCCTCGGGGCGGCTTACAACACAATAAAATACAATACAATACAAAAATGACAATACAAAATTAAAATTAATAATATAAAATAAATAAAAAATATAAACGATATAAAAGAAGTTAGATTAAATTAAATGAAAATATGCACAAATTCCCTCTTCATGGACAGACTACAGTGCATAATTGTTTGGGAATCCTTTATATATTAAGTAGTGGCATGGTTGTTTCTGAAAAACAAACCGTGAAGTTGTGGCAACATTTAACAGAGCTAGACTGGTAAAAAACTGCTTTATCGGTATGGGGTGTCATGATTGCAACAATCTACCACTAGTGAGTAGATGAGTTTACTTTTAAGATCAATCAATTTTATTGTAGTAGTGTCAGTGATTATAGTAATCCATCATTAATAACACTGATAATTTACTCTTAAATCATTCTATTTCTATATCAGTAGATAAATAACTTTCAGGATTTGTATTCTTATCTGTCATCACCAAATTACATTTCAGAAATAAAATAATTTTTTCCATACTTGTATACTTGCAAGTAAAATTATGTTGAATATATGAGCATACCTTTGCAATAATAACTTCTTTTTTCAAAATCTTCATAGCATAATATTTTCCACTTGCCTTCTCTCGGACCAGAATCACTTTGCCAAAAGTGCCTTTGCCAAGTAGCTTTAAGTAATCAAAATCATTCATTGTCTGTACAGATCACAAAACCAGGAATTAATGGGATTTATATTTTGCAGATGTTGTATTCATTAAAATGCTGCTGACCTGCCATCAATTACTATGATTATCAAGAAACAATCCCCTCTTAAAGAAGCATATTTATCACAAGATGAAGTTCCAAACAGAAAAAAATAATTTTGATATAGTTACATCTTTAGTTCATTCTTCTGCTGCAAGGGGTAGAGTGTGTATAGGCACAGATTTTGCTAAAAGACATCCCAACAATCTCAGTCATCTTATATTATATGTGACTATATATTACACAGAATTATTAAACTTTTCTCTGTGTTTTTGCTGCTACCAGTTTAAAAAATGATTATCAGCTACAGAGGAGCCAAGGGATGCCTAAATACAATAGCTCACTAAGCTGTCATAATGCTCCACACTGAAAGCTTTTCTAAAAGTACATGGTCTTCTGAACATATACCATGCCAGTAACAGACTGCAGTACACCAAGTATCAGCCCATTTATTTTCTTTGAGAAGAGGGTTTGATGACTGAGTGTCTTGAGTCAATGGTTATAATACAATTTAGCTGGACAAAAATACAATTTCAGCTACCCAAGAAACTGTAAAATAATTCCCAGGAAATCAAACAACAAGACACAAACTTTCCTGTTATAAACAGAAGTGTCACAATAATGCAGATATTTTAATACATTAATCTCACTGAAGAAAAAGTGTAAAAAAAGAATTAGCAAATAAAGAAAAATTAATATATAGGAGTGTTTCAAAGTATACACCAGATAAAGCATTTACAAGCTGCTGAAGGCAATCTGATAGAATTTCTGTAATACCCTTTCAATGGAAACATTAATTTTTATTTATTGACTATACTTCTATGCTACCCAACAGCTGCAGCTCTCTGGGCAGTTCACAACAATTTAACAATAAACACAATAAAACACAATATAAACATGTAAAAGTTTACAATTCCAGTATAAAATAAAAGCCAAATAAAACTTAGCTGCAGTGCAAAGATTTAAAATATGATAACAGAATTAAACAAAAAATCTGAAAGACTAAAATGACTTAGAAATCTTTTACTTGAAGACTGGGTATACAGGACAGGTTTTTAGGCATCTGAAGGTCAACTCTTGGCAGGAACCCTCAGATGTTTGCACTCTTGCAATTAGGTTCCTGACTATCTGGCAAACCTGTCCTAAAAGTACATATATTTCATTCAGTCAGTCAGTCAGTCATTTTTAAACATCTTTTTTGAGAACAGATCCAGCCAGTTTCCTCTAAAAACAACTACAAAGGTTTGTTCTAAAAGTATTTTGCAAACTTGTTGGGCCACAATGTAACTGAAACTTAATCAAAAGGTAAACGTAAGCCCTGCCTTTCATTTCTACACTACTTTTATACACTCAAGTATGATTTACAGATTTATTTATTTCATCCATTTATACCCCGTCCTATTGCTTTAAGCACTCAGGACAGATTACAGAATATATAAAAATACAGTAAATATACTGTAAAATGCTGGATTGGATCCAAAGTTACTCATGCTCAAGAGATGATCCACTGTAATCAAGGATTTCTCCTCTGCTCCTGTCTTGATTGTTTTCATTCTCTATGTGTAGGATCCAACAATTCCACAAAACATGGTATTTGCCATACCATCCTCTGGCAGCCTTCTGAACACTGAAGCTGTACAGGTGGACAGAGCATCTCAGAAGATGGCAAGATCTCTATTACCTTCTCAGTTGGAAGGAAGGCTAGCGGTTCTATAGCCACTATACGGGAAAGGAAACAAGCCAGGGATAGGACTTGACAGTACTTGAAGGTGCTTGGGCTGCCTTCAAACAATAGTTTTGTATACTCAGTATACTCTTGACAATTGTTTGTCCAAAGTGCTCACGGTGCCTTCAAGCAGTGACACCCAAGCCAGCTTATTATCCTCCCAACCAGCCTTCTGTAAGGAAACTCAGAGGTGCAGACTTGCAAAAAGAGATGTAAGATGGGACCACATATATATGTAATACAGTGAGGATTGATTTTATTTAAATCAAATTGATTTAAATCATGATTTAAATCACTAGTCAGTAAGACTAGATTTCAATCGTAGTTTTCTACATAATTTGTATACATGCTTGCCTTGCACATAAGTAGAGGAACTACTTATATGCAAAAAAACCCCTCCCAAACTGAGCCTCTTTTACGGCCTGCTGCCATTATAGTTTTTCTCTTCCAGAGAAAGAATAATAGGATAAACCTCAGGCTATACAGAAAAGATCCAAAGACTTGTGGAATATTCTGCTCACAATATTCTTCACTTTCATTTTTACTGCTTGCCCCTCCATCCTCTTGTGCTTCTTAGCACTTAGCTTCTTGTGCAGATCTACTGTATTCCACTCCCAACAATCTTTTCTATTCATTGAATTTTTTGAAACATGGCATTTAAGAGGTAAGGGCATGATTCTGTGTATATAGATTTGCAAAGGAACAATGGAATTAAGGTCTTTTTCTTAATTCTCTATGTTTATTTTATAGCATTTTTGCTGTGAAAAAGAGGCACATGATCTTTGCAGACACACATTCACAGTTGAGAACTAAAAAACCAAGCATCTGTAATAATATCTTCTAGATAGAAAAACTGCTCAATAATCTTACAGAAACCTCTGGAAGAACATGACATTGTGAATTGATTAATGGAATATATTTAGCAAATTAAACAAATATTGCACCAATATACAGTCTCATGTTGCATAATTAAAAACTAATCCTTATTCCATGCTGAATAACCTTTGAACTATAATTTATCTTCAATGTAAAACTGTATTTAGGGAGATTTTTCCTCAAAAAGCATTTTATTTTTTAAAAATCCAGTTTTTAAAATCATAGATTTTTATCCCCCCTAGATACAGTCATGCAACTAAATACTTAAATGTCACCACTACTAAGTTACTGTCTGGTTTTGGTCTAGCTCTTCTCAGAGAAACAATGCCATAAGCTGTGGCAATATTCCAGAAGTAACAGAACCACCAGATCTTTGATGCACTATGCATTTCATTGCTGTCATAATAGACAACATAATCAGTGAATACTTGATACATTAGATTTACATGAAAAAGCAACTGATGTTAAAAATAAATCAGATTAATAATGACAAAGCAATTTCAAACTTGAATACCATCAAGTACTTTGTTTTCTGTATAGATTTATTCCTTGGAACAAAATACTCATCTTCTTTTCTGCTTGTTTCATAATCTGATTATGTTCTTCTCATAAGAGTACCATCTGCTGCAAAAATCACTGGGTTTAAGCATAGATATGTGACAAAGCTAGTGTATAATTATTAACTTTGTATAACATACCTAAGTTAAGAAAATTTTGTTTAGAAGAATGATAATATACTACGAATCAGTGCTCTTTACATATATTCCATGTTATACTACTGAGAATGAAAAGCCATTGATGCTTGTACAATGCTTCAATTAATGTATGCTTTTAATATTAAAATGGTGAAAATAAAATTGCCATGAAATGACATCTTTATTTAATATGAATCTAGTCCTGAAGAACTCTTCATTGTTGATTTTTTTCAGATACAATATCATCTGAATATTAACTGAGTGACTTTGGGCCAATCACAGACTCTCAGTCCAATCTACCTCACAGGGTTGTTGTTGTGAGGGAAGACTGAAAGTAGGAGGAGGAGAATGATGCAAGCTGCTTTGAGGTCTTTAAAAAAGAAAAGGGGGATAGAAATCTAATAAATAAATAAATTTTAAGACAATCTGTGTTAAAGATCTTTATGCTAATAATATCTGAAGCTTAAAGAGAATTGTACCATTTACTGATCTCAAAACAAGGCCATTTTACCTTGGTATATAGACTTGCCAAAGAATAGAGAATGGCTCATTTTGGCTTCTGAAAACTGTTTTCCATCTGTAGTTTATATTCTTTGGCAAGTTTTCAGTTAGCTGCCACAATTCATTATCTGTAACATCACACACTTGTACAGTACTGATATTCTGTAGAATACTGCACTAACTATATGATCCAATATATGAATACCCTCCAGTATTTCCTTACAGAACTAGTTTAGGGGATACTATCTATGGAGTATAATCTAGTCTTAAAAATAAGCCTGCAAAGGTTACTAGTCTGCCATTTATTTTACACACCTGTAAAAAGGTTAATACTCTGATTCTATATTGTCAATGGAGGAGGAGAGACAATACTTTCTATTAACATAATTTATATTCATTGTAATTCCAAATAAATGACAATTCAACTTTTTTACTTGCCAATCATTTTATAATGTGAGGACCTTGTAATGTTTCTGACTTAATTTCTGCCTCTATTTTTCTCCTTTAAGCTATTTAAATTTTTTAAAGAGTCCATCTCCCCCCACTTTCACTCCTGTCTAGAAATGGGCTGACTACCTAGTTCAAATCCACCCACCCTCCAAAGTTCCTTCTTTAATGTTCTCTATAAGTATTGTAAAATTTCTGTAAAAAATATTTGGCCAGAATTGGAGAGTAAATACAAAGCTAACTTTTGCCCTCTTAAACTACCTTAACATATACAGAGAGCTTTGGCTATTGAGAAATATAGAAATAAAATAAAGAAAACAAACAAATATTGTTCTCTGGTGTCTGATAATGTATGTGAGATTGTAATTTCACATGTGTTCATTTTTGGTATTGACATCCTATGTGATTCTGAGTTTTTGTCTGCAGCAAGACTCCCTAACCCTCACTCACCCATAACAATAAGTATTTCTGACTTTAAGATGTGTTTCTTGTAGAAAGATAACATCAGGGCTTTTTTTTTTTTTTTTGTCATAGAACGCACCGGAACAGCGTTCTGGCACCCTTTTTCAATGGATTTTATGAAGTAATTTTGGTGTAGCAGATCAGCAGCAAACATCATTAACATAGTGCCTGCAGGCTGCTATCTGATAGTGAGAGATAGCTGCTCCGCTGCTCAGCTTGGGATTGGTGTGTGTGCTTACTGCCCGCGGAGTTCTGGCACTTTTTTTTTTTTTTTACAAAAAAAGCACTGGATAAAATTCTACTTCCTTCTTTTTAAAAATGAACATCTGTTCCCTCCTGGGCTTTATTGGGAAGCCCACCCCCTTGATGTTTAATAATAATACCTTAGACCTGCTATATTCTATTAGTCCACACAAGTTGTAAAGTATTTTGAAGTCTTCCTTTGCTCCCCCTGTCTGTCAGTATTCCTTTCAGTTAGTGGATGCATGTACACAGGAGTTCCAGTAACAACAAGTAACACTAACCCTAAACAGTAACCATGACATTTTTCTTTTTTATTTCATTTGAGTGGATGTGTACCTGTAAGAAGGGTTGTGCCCCAACAATGTTAATGAGGAAATTCAGGGAATTTCAGTGGAGGGAAAGCTCCATCCAAATTGAGCCCCTCAACAGCTAAACCAGTATCAAGGAAAAAAAAGTGTTGCAACATAACATGTAATGTGGGATATCTAATTTATTATTGTTTAAGATAGAAATGTTATTGTTCATTGTTGTATTTATAGATAGTTGTGAGCCGTCCAGAGATTAAAGTGATTGGACACTCTAGAAAAATCCTAAAGAAACAAACAGCCGCAACAACTAACAATTGTAAACAATTTGTATACATTTATTTCCAAAGATTCTTTTCCCCATTACTCAGTGAGTATTTGTAGATAACAAATATATTGTTATGTGTAAGTGGTCCTAGTCCTTCATCTTCTATCACATACATAAAATAAATTCTTCACTGGATAAACTCAATATTTATCTGACAGATATTTCATACTGGAAAGCAAAACATAATCAGATTTTAATTATCATTAGGGAGTATTTTCTTCTTTGTTTTCTGGGATGTTGTGAGCATTCAATATCACAGCCCTCTCCCTCTGATTCTCCTTGAGTGTCCGATTCTTCCTTTTCTAATTCTGATAGGCTTCAATGCTGAGTCTGAGCATTTTAAGAAAAGAAACTGTGTGTTGCTGTTTGTGAATGGTTAGTATCATTGGATGACCTAGCATCCATTTGGGATGGATCCATTTGAATGGATGCTAGCTCTATGAAGTTGATCAGTGATGAATATGAAAAAAAAAATCTGATAATGCTGTCAGGACACAGGTCTTGGAAAAGTTGTACTCAGTTGCCCTCCATTAACAGGGAAGATTTGTTTTTTAAAGCTATTACAACTGAGTCTCTTAATGCTTCAATTGATAGCTTGGCAATGCCCTGCTGGGTGGCTTAGAGTACAATGCAAGGTGAGCTCTAGCGATAGCCTACTTTGCCTGCTGTGACAGCTCCAGCTCCATTAAGTACTTAATGATATCCTTTCCCTCAGCCAGTTCTTTAACCGAGTGAATTCTCAGGTTAGTCCTTCTACTTTGATAGTCTAAGGACTCTACTTTTTGGCTTAGCTCCTCATTTATCAAACTCAATTTTTAAAAATCTTCTGTTGTTTCAGCCTCAGTTCCATGTTGCCATTTGCTGCTGTGGAGGTGTCATGTAGTTTAATCACTACATCATTTCAATGGGTTTATTGTGTCATTCCAGTTCTTGTGGAACAGCTTTAGTTATTGTCAGGATTTGGGCAGCTGCAGGCCTCCATCTGCTGGTTCAGCACTAAAATAGTTCATAGTTGCAGGATTATTCCCAGGCTCAGCTGTAGCTCCAGGGCCTTGATGAGCACCACTTGAGAGCCCTGAGAGAATAGTTATTTAAGAGGAAGCTCTTCCCTCCAGAAACTGCCTCAGCAACAACTGACTTGCTGCTTCAGTGTAACTGATGCCTGTGTCTTGGACCTGCTTTACCTCACCTTGCTGCCTTGCCTATCAAGCCTGGTTGTTCCTGACCCCATCTTGTTAACTTGCTGGTTCCTGACCTCTTGCCTGTTCTGATTGTGCTCTTCTCTATCAGACAGACTATACCTTGCCTTGTTCCATTACCTGTTCCTGATTCTGACATTGGCCTGTCTGGGTTTGTGACTCGGACTTGTTATTGAACTGTGGACTTATAGCATCTGGGTCCTTGCTGCCTGGGTCCCATTGGATCTATATATTGTCCTGCTGTCTATGCCCTGGATCCTGACCATTGTTTTGCAACAGCTGTTGTATTATTCATGCCATCTAGTGTAGATTATATATTCCCCAAAGGTTGGAAGGCAGGAGTGGAGGGGTGGCCAATTTAATTTTTAAAATTAAAAATAAACCTAACTGAGCCTCTTTAGGACGGGCAAGATCCCAAGACATTTTCCAGTGCAGGTTCTCTCTTCAATCTCATTTTCCGCAAGTTTATCTTCAGGATCTTAAATGATTATGTGAATAGTAAAGAGGAGCAACGGATTATTCTGACACCATTCTTAAAGATGTCACTTCCTCCCTCATATTACAACAACTCTGACAATTACACCAACATTGGCACGGCTACACACCCACTGGCTCACATAGTATACAGGATATGCAAGGCATGCCAAGACCACTAATGCTAAGTTCCCATCACTGCAGAGCAGCAAAGAATATAATTCTTTTACATTTATTGCTGGGACTTTGCCTTTGGCCAAATATTTTTCAGGATATTCAAGTGCAGAGGGGTCCTTCGATGAAGCTTTTCAAATCTTCAGAAGCAGGCCAAACTTGTATCATTTTCTGATATGGGGTTAATTGCATTTTAGTGCAATAAATGAGGATTTCCATATCTTTTTCTTTCTTTTAACTAGGGACAAATCTAAACTATTACTTCAAGTGCCACCTCTTTGAAATGCATGTCAGATTGCCTTATGAAAATAAAGTTATAGATTAAAATAAAAAGAAAACCCTCAGCCACTCCATGAAATAAGTGCCTCATACCAAAAATTATATGATGTTTGCCTATGCACATCTGGAGAAGTGCCTAATATTCTCATCTCCACCTTTGCAGAGGCAGATGTCGGTATGAAAGGAGGAGATGCCACTAAGTCCTACCTAAATCACCATGCTCTGAAAAATTAATCCAATATATTTTACTAAAGATGGAATACTTGATACACAGTATATTTAAGTACACCAGGTATATAAACACCTTTCACTGTTTTCCATTTATCTAAGCATTTACACAACAGTTACAGAAAAAGAAAAAGGAACAGTTAAAATCCAAACAGACAGCTTAAAAACCTGAGATATCACATACTAGTAATGAATACATATTGCCTATATAGCTACTGAAGTACTAGAAATACCAGAAGGACCAATCTCACCTAACAGGGAGATTTAGAAGATCATTGTACTAGCAAATACCCCCTTAAAAAGGTTTTTATATTTAATTCAAACACTGAGAAAGGGAGGATTTTCCTCTATTGATAAAACATCTAGCAGACATCTTTTTATATAACTTATATTGCAATTTTATGATATCAAAATCAGCTGCTCAAATTTTAGAATGCTGAAAGTTCAACTGTGGTCCAAAACATATGCAGCAAAAAAGATGATTTGTTTTAAAATGCGGACATGATCCAATCTTTTCTTCCTCCCTGCTTCACATATGTGGGGAGAAACTGTACAACTTGTAACTACAACTTGTAAATGAACCTGCAATTTCCCTTTTATCCAAATATGAAAAACTGTGATTTGCACAAATCACAGTTATAACTAGCTTGGATATCAAACTATGGTATGTCTTCTTTGTCAACTGTGGTTTGTACAAGCTACAATTCTCTATATCCAGACAAAGCAAAAATATATTATTCTGTCTGGATGGGTCTTCATCTTAGCGGGAGTTAAACTTTATCTAACTGCCATTTGGAAATCTCTTATAATAAAGAAATTAGCATGATTAGAGAAGAACAGAAATGCCCACAATTACTACAAGGTTTTAATTTAAAAGCTTAAGGATTAGCAATTGAATTCTCTAATTACCTTTCTTTTATGATGAGTTGTGGAAGCATCCATCTCCTCCTCTCCAATATTATCAATCTGTGAAGTTGGACTACAGTTCATTCTCTCCTCTTCCTGCCTTTGAAGCCTGTCTGCTACTGCCTGGATGGCTTCTGTCCATTCTTCCCTGTCAAAAACAGGGCAGTAAGTAAATCACTGTCATCAATATGCAATTAATAAGAGGTAAGACTTAATATGTACACAAACTGAAAGACAGAAAAATGAGGAGTGATCCATTATTTTACTGCGTTTTACCATTCTGTGTGCACTGCTCTTTGACACAGACTTCTTGCTGCTGACTTCCAATCCCCACTGATTGCATTTGTCAAAGGGCTACATACATATTCAGATGTATGTGTAATGGTCAAAGTGAATCAAATTCCAAACATTCAAAAGTCAAAACTGAGTATTTCAAAAGAATTGGAATAGTTTTGCTAAAATCTGTGCATCTAAGTAAGAAACACTGAAACTTAAACTTCGTATAGCACAAATTATTTATAATATTCCTTAGAGACATATTCTTTCCACATAAGTGTTATGAACTGGAAAAGGCAGGTTGCTTACCTGTAACTGTCATTCTTCAAGTGGTCATCCATGCATTCATGCATTATCCATGCATCCATGCATTATGGGTGCTGAACCTGCGCAGTGCCTGTTGCCGGGAAGATTTCACAGCTTTATCAGTTTCTGGCAGGAACTCCGCACCCTCCCCACCATAGTATAAATGGTCAGAGTGCCTGCCCTTTCCCCAGTCAGCTGAAGACCTATCGTTTGCCCCCAAGTGGCGCTAGTTGGTATTGAACCTGGCTCATAAAGAGGAAAAGAAGATATATCTCCCTATATATATGCATGTATATTACATAACAGTCACCGACATCAAGTGGGGCTGGTGGGCAGGTTGTGTGAATGCATGAATGATCACTCGAAGAACGACAGTTACAGGTAAGCAACCTGCCTTTCTTCATTGTGGTCTCCGTGCATCACACATTATGGGTGATTAACAAGCTTACCACACTCAGAGATAATGAATGAGCCAGGCAGTGAGATTTAGAGAATGTAGGTCCAGATGTTGAACGACACCTTGTTCCTGAGTGAGAAAATGGGGAACTTGAGGTAGGTGAAGAAAATTGCTGTGTGATAGTTGGAGAAGAGTGGGGAATCACAACTGACAGGGCCACCAAGCGGTGATGAAAATTCTGTGAGCATTGTCTCATTGGATTTTGAATATAGTCCTCATTATTAGCAGTATCAGTGGGAACGTGTAGAAGAATTTGTTCTCCCACGAAATCATGAGTGCATTCCCCAATCGAATCCAGGCCAATACCTGCTTGGGAGCAGTATGTCCTGCAGATACAAGTTTCTATCCGGTGTTCCCCAGAGTTGAAACACATGTTGACAAACTTGTTGATCTAGTTTCCACTTTTAAGTCGTCAACATGTGTCTGCTGAGGGAGTCAGCTTCCTTGTTGTTGGTGCCTACGAGATGGACAGCTCAAGGAGTAATCCTGCAGGCAACGCACCAGTTCCACATGCAAAGGGGAAAGTGAGTCAATGGTACCGATTTCGTACCGCCAAGTGTGTTTATGTAGAACACTGTCCCACATTACCTGCACCGTGTGATCTTGTAGGATGGTTTGGAAAGAACACAGTGCTTTGAAGACCTCCAGCAATTCCAGGTAGTTGATGTGTCTGGTGGTCTCATGTCCATGCCAGGTGCCTTGGGTCCGAAGAGGCACACAGTGGGCACCCCATCCAGTCAGGGAAGCGATGGTATAAAGTGTCATGGTTGGTTCCGGTTCACAAAATGGAGCTCTGCAGGAGAGATTGGTATCAATAGTCCACCAGGACAAGGTCTGGAAGACTGAGTGCAAAGGCTGTAGTAGTTGGTTTGGTCAGTCGTAGTCCGGGTGAAAATTATGATTGAACCAGAGCCGCAAAGGTCTCATTCGCAGCCTCGCATTCAGCACCATCGAAACCGTGAACGCCATATGACAGAGCACTTGTTGGATCAAGTGTGCAGAGACGGTCTGTTGGGAAGTGATCCATTGGATTGAAGAAAGCGGCCTTTCCTGCCGATTCCGAGGAAGGAAAGCTCGTGTGCGTAGAGCCTAGGTGTGCACCGATGAAACTGATGACCTGAGAAGGAACAAGGCACGATTTTTCAGTATTAATACAGAGTCTAAGTCGATCTATCAGGGAACAGATAGTATTGATGGAAGCCAAAGGTCATCCCTGGAGGAGGAGATGATAAGCCAATCGTCAAGGTATGGATAGATGTGGATGCCCTGAAGCCAGAGGTGGGCACAAACGGGAGCCAAGCATTTGGTGAAGACTTTCGGAGTGGTAACAAACCCAAAGGGGAGTACGTTATATTCAAAGGCATCGGTACCGACAGGGAACTAAAGGAGGCGCCTGTGAGTAGGATGGATGCTGATGTGAAAGTAGGCATCTTTCCAGTCAAGGGATGCGAACCAATCCTCTTTCCTGAGCAATGGGAGTATATTTTGGAGTGTGGTCATTCTGAATATTTTTATTTTGCTATATTTATTAACTCCACGTCAGTCTAGAATAGGGTGTAGTGCGCCATCTCATTTTGGTACCATAAAGTACCTGGAGTAGAAACCAGTTTAGGGCTCGATCCCTTATGAAGCAGCTTGGTGACTTCTTCCAGGAGTGCTGGAGAGGCTGCTGTATACCAGATTGGGCTGGAAGGCGGCACTGCCTCAAACTTGATTTTATATCAATGCTCTATGATGGTGAGAACCCACCTATCAGATGTGATGGACTCCCAGATGGGGAGTTGGCTTTGCAGCCAGTCCCCAAAAGGGATGGTTCACACATCCCATCAGCGTTGATGCTTATCTCACTCTGGTCAGCACCCAGTTTGTTGGGTGAGGCGCATTTTGCCTTCATTTCCATTGCTGTCTTTGGCCATACTGTTGACGTCCCATAGAGTATGGTTGATGGTAGGGCTGGTACCAGTATTGGGATCTGTTCCATGGTTACATCTCTGCTGGGAAGGATTTTCCATGCGACGTGCGGTGAGATGAGCTTTTTGGATGTTCTTGAGCTTGTCATCCATCTTCACATTGAACAATCTGGAGCCGTCAAATGGCATGTTCTCAACACACTGTTCGGTCTCCTGTGGCAGATTGCCAGATCTCAGCCAGGCGTGGCAATAAAGTGCAATAGCACCAATGAGAGCGTTAGAGTCACAATCAACATGATGTCTCACTATGTTCAGCTGTTGTCTGGAAAACTGCATTGCCTCCCTGATGAATAGGCTGGTCAGTTCCCTTTGCTGGTCCAGGAGGAATGCAGTGAGGGACTTGAACTTCTGCCACAGAAGGAAGTGATAATGGGCCATGGTAGTTGGAGATCCGAAGACCAAGTCCATTGTGGCCTAGATGCAGCGAGACATCATGTCAATTTTTCTTCCCCCCTTGTCAGCTGGAGTTGGGTGTTCCTTGGTTTGTCTGCCCTGGGAAGATTCAATCACTATCAAATTCGGCTGAGGGTGTTTAAGGAGGAACAGGATATCTTGTTCCCAAACTTTACACATCCCTTCTAGACACCTGGAGATGGGATGTGGGTGGATCGGGAGTTGTCAAGTATCAGTCATCAACTGTCGAAGAGTAGTAATGAAAGGCAACGCGATGGATGATGAATCCTCTTTAAGAATGATGCCATAAAAGTTGTCCTGACTGGAATCTATTCTCGGTTGGACATCTATCTCTAGCAATTTGATCATCCGGGAGAATAGCTCAGAAAAGGTGCCCTGGGAGTTGCCAGGAGATTCAAGACCTTTAGTAGAAATAACAGTTTTGGAATATTGTGGGTGCTTGTTGAGAATCCTCCGAGTCTGAATCTGAGATGTAAGGCGGACTGGATGAGGACCCATCAAGAGACGTTGGTGCACAGGTGAGTGCTGTGGCAGAAGCTGACGGAGCGTCCCTTGACACCGAGTGAGGGGTGGAGTGATGGGGACTCATTGGTGGTCATGGGTAATATCCATATGGGGGATAGTAATTCCACAGATAAGGCCGATCAAAGCAGTTGCGGTCGAATTCTCAGTACAGCAGAGGAACCCAGTACTGCAAAGGTTGTGTTGCAGAAGCCTGGCATAAGAAGGACGACAGGCGTTGAGGTGCCCTCGGAGATCCCTCCAGAGATGATTGGGCCACAGGCATAGAAGTGGATGATCTCGCAGGTGGATGTTCTTGTCCCATCTGGGGAGGAAATTCACTGATCTCCCCATCGGTGATCAATGCTCTCGCCAAAGGATCAGGACTGAAGTGCAGCAAAGTTGTAATCTGCAGAGGTGACAATGGAAGTGTCACCTGAATAACTGACTGGCGACTTGGAGTTCCAGCCTGGACTGGTGCAGCAGTCGGCTCTGAGCGAGGCACCTTGTCATGTTTTTTGTGCCGGCGCTCGGATTTGTCAGGTTTGTCCTTCTCAGGATGCTTAGGCTTCGATAACTCCTCAGACCCAACATATTCCCTCTTCTCCTTATGTTTATGGAAAGGAGTATTTGAAGAGCGCTTTCCATCCTTGCCAACAGGATCCTCTTCAGATGGGCGAGTGGGGATGGAATTCGGTGGTCCCAAAGCCACAGAAGAGCTGGTCTCAGCCAAGAACTGCTTCATGGCAAACAGTGCTTGGTCCCATAACATTTTTCGCAGCCTATTCTCATGATTTTTGCAAGCCTGCCTGGTAAACGACTGGCAGTAGCTGCATTTATCGGTCCTGTGCCCTTCTCCAAGGTAGAGAAGACACAGATCATGAGGGTCAATGGGAGACATTTTGGCTCCACACTGAGAGCACTTACGGAAGGTCACCCACTGTGCCATTCAGGAAGAGAGAGAAAGAGAAACAGCGGAGACAGTTTGTGGAAGAGAAGAAGGGGTAAGTGGGGAAGAACAAGAAATTAAGGGTAGGGGTTTGGTAAGGGGCAAACTGGGATAAAGGCTGAAAGTTGTAGAAGTGGAATTTAAGAGAAAAAGACAAGATTTAAGAGAGTATGATTGAGAAGTACACAGAAAGAGCAACAAAGGCCCAAGGCACAGCAAACGGTGGTTGCAAGAAGACTGAGGAAAGGGTGGGCACTCCAACCATTTATACTACAAGGGGAGGGCACAGAGTTCCCTCCAAAAACCGTTAAAGCTATGAAATCTTCCCAGCAAAAGTCACTGTGCAGGCACAGCACCCATAATGTGTGATGCACAGAGACCACAATGAAGAACTAATCTGTACTGACCAACGTCCTGATATTATATATTATCTGAAGGTAAATATAATTGCTTTTAAGTAGTATTTACTTCCAGGTAATAAATGTAGAATTGAATTGTAAAAACACTTATGAATACAAATAAAACCACAAAATCCATGCACATTTTAGCAACTGGAGGTCACATTGAATTCAAATAACAATGTTGCAGTAATATTTACTTCATATAACAGACTTCACCATTAATATATTAAAATAAATCACAATCACAACAGCATTGACACCAACTATCTCTCCTATATGTTCTTGAAAGTTAATGTGTTCAATATCTGTTAAAAGTTCATAATATCAATCAGAATTTTTTATATGCAAGCTATAATTATATCTCCTACAATGCAAATATTCTAAGGCAGACTTAACACGCCCTAAAAATACTGGGTATGCATTTAGGAATACTTGATGCAAATTTATTAGTAAAGTTTTAAATGAATGTACACAAAATGTAAAAATGTATTTTCAACTTAATGCAGTAAGATGCAAGGAACAGTTCCCTTATAGAATTTACTCTGTATAACATGATAAACACACACTCACCGTTCTTCTGGTGTATCTACGTGAAATGTCCTTTCTATCACAGTGGTCCACTGAAGACATCGGATAATAAATGTGTTTGGTTTTGGTCTCTCTGTTTTCATTAGCTGGCATTCTAGAAAAATAATATATTTAGCATGTCGCTTTTATACTATGAGAAAATAAACTAAATTTGTTCAAATTACATATACTCTATATATCCACCAACATTTATAGCTATATGTAACATTAGTAGTTTCACATATACACTGAGAACTGCAATGCTATCCTTAATTACCTATTAACAAGTCCTACTGAAAACAATCGGCCAAAGTAGACATGAGTAGATATTCATAGGATTGCACTGTACATGCTGACTGTTAGCAACCTAAAGTTGCATTTATTTTATAACTATTAATTATCTTTAATATTTGAAACAAAAATGTTATTGGAAATTAGTATTCAGTGTATGTGTGAGAGAGAGGAGGTGGGGGGGGATAAATATTCTTCAACCAAGTATTTCCAAAGTTTAAAAAAAATGATTACATTCATTACTGATCCTCCACTGAGAAACAGCACTTCGATCAAGCACAGTCTTCTATTAATGAAAGAGAAAGAAACAATTTCTCCATTCCATTGCCACAACCCATTCCCCTACATGTGTTCCTCAGGCTTGGAAGACTCTGAAACACCCATGGCAGTAGCACGGTGAGCTATAGGAGAATTTATTAAGGTTACCTCTCCTCCTCATGTTCCACTCACAAAAGCATCCACTAAACCATGGGTCCTCAAACTATGGCCCATGGGGTGAATCCGGCCCACCTCAGAGGTATTGGATTCCCCACGCCTGCCGCTGTCTGCCTTTCACACATGCACTTGCTGCTGCCTCGCTGCGCATGCAGCGACGCAGCAGCTTGTTCGCTTGGAGATCATTTTGGACTCACTTAGAGAAAATGATTTCCGAGTGAGGAAGCCACCACCTCGCTGCGCGCCTGCTGCCACCAACTTTCAACTGGCCCCACTGAAAAAGTTTGAGGACCCATGCACTAGACCAAAGAACCTTCCATCAGGAAAGAGAAATAACTGGATAAAACCTATACATCTGTACATTATACATACTTTATACATTTCTTGTCAAGGTATGGGATGTTTTCAGAGAACAGTTCAACTGTTGTGAGTGCATATGAATACGCACACACATTAGTCTTAAATTCTTATACACAAACATGCATATAGGCATGCAAATAATACTGCAGATACAAATATACCCATACATATACATGTTACAAATGCTAATCTTCCCCCACCACCACCACTTCGAGCCAGTGATGGCATGAAGCAGAATGTGATCTTTTTTTATCCTTAGTAGGAGCCATGTTCTTTCTTCAGAAGACTCTTTGTACCATTAGCTATACTCTGCCCTTGTATCTTCTTTCTCTCACTGACAATGTACAGTTAGCAGACTCTGGACTCAAAAATTAGCCCATAGTAATATGGCTCATAAACAAAAGCTCCATGAAAATTATAAGGCAGAGGTCCCTAATGCAAGTGTTCATGGGTGCCTCCAGTGGTGACCATGGAGGGCTTTCCAACATGATGGCTGTAGGCATGCCAAAAGATTATTTTAACTTCCTCAACTTTTTTAAAAAACATACATGGATTTGAATGACATGCATAAAACTTTCTAACAACTATGCATAGATGTCAACAAAGGTGAACTGTATAGTCAAATAAGCATCCGTTTGAAGTTGATGTCTGCGTGCCATCTTTTCAAAAATCAAGAGCTTTGCAAGATCCTTTGTACCATGGGTCCTCAAACTACAGCCTGCAGGTCGGATACAGCCCACCGTGGTCATTTACCCAGTCTGCCTCAGAGCTTTTGGACTTGTTCAGAGAAAACAATCTCCAAGAGAGCCCGAAAGCTCTGAGCCGGCGCAGGTGTTCTCTGCAACTGAGCAGAGAGCCAGCACAGGTGCCAAATTGGAACAGCTCCCTTCAACTGCATGTGTGCCAGCTCTTCTCCCCTCCCCATTGCATGCATGTGTTGGCTCTAAATATAGAATGGAAATACAGAGCAGGAAACAGAAGAGAGGAGGGCAGAAGAAAGAGAGACAGATGAAGACACTAAAAAAGGATTGAAGGTAAGAAAAATCTAACTTTTTAAATCTCTTTTTAATTATGTGAGCCATGTCCCTGGGCTGCGGGCCAAGCCACGGCCACCTCACTGAGCCCAGAGGTGGACAGGCTGAGGTGGGGCCGCAGCTCCCACGCCTCCGCCGCGGCCTTCTCTGAGCAAGCTGCCACCATCAAGCAGCTGCCATGCTTCCCCCCGCGGCAGAGAGAGGAGGAAGGCACCCTACTCAGCCAGCCGCAACCCCATTTCTTGCCTCCTCTCGTCTTGAAAAGCAGCCCTTACCTTCCTCCTTGTGGCCCTCTCCCAGCTGGGGGAGCCACCCCACACTCACCTCTCTGGCCTCTCACGGCTGCGAGGACTATAATTACCATCATGCCCAATCAGCATGGCCAATGGAAGTTGTAGTCCAACTCATCTGAACAGTACCAGTTTTGGAAAGGTTGCACTAAAATATGGTAGTCATTAGCTCTGCATCCAAATACAGCCATTGTATATTGTGAGAATTATTCTGGGCTGACTTGCTTCATATATTAAGAGTGGCATTAACAGTATTTATCCTTAGTATTTTTGCTTCATTCTTTGTAATGCCAGTTGCAGTCATCAGCTGCATTATGCAAAATACTATATTTAGTATTTAGAGGACCCCTGCTCTGTACACTGCATCCTTCCAATGTTGTAATGTTTAAGTGTCAAATGAGTGCACAAAATCCATTCCCCCTTCTGTTTATTAATTTCTATGAGGCAAGTAAATAACTTTAAAGAACATGAGCATCAGCTAGTATTAAATACTGTTGCAGTACAGAATATACCTGAGTAATAACCTCCTCCTCAAGAAACTACTGGTTGCCACCAAAACATAGATTTAAAAGAAGTATTAGCTGTATTGCACCAACAGTAATTGGCTAGGTTAGGGAAAGGTTGGGTAATCTTTTATTAAGGAAATGTTGTAGAATCCAATAAACACAGAACAAAAGTAAGACACAGAATAAGTAAGATGAGTAAGATACAGGTTAAGATCCATAAACACAAAAAGTTGATGCCAAATCATCAGTCCACTGAACTGTTGTGGTTGTGTGCACAACAGTTTCCCAAATAGTTGGGGACACTTGTCATAAAGAGCTCGACAAATGGTGGGGTAGACTAGTGGAATGAGATTCCCCCTTTTGCATTTATTGTAGTTTGCATAAGTATTTTGCATTCCACAAAATGCCTCATTGTTAAATAAATGCAAATTAAAGAGAAAAACTTGAAGATTCACTAAAAGTAAAATCATGTATACTAGGAAGTAAACTCAAATTAAATATATAACATACAATGTGTTTTTTCCCAAGTAAGCATTTAAGGGAGTATGTGTCTAACTTTTGGGTTTGGAACCACCTGTCTTAAACGAAAAAGTTTAAAAATATTAAAAAGTTAACTGAAACATTCTTATTTTATTCTTTTATTTCTATTAGTTGTTCCTCTTCATATCTTCAATTGTAATTGAGTACATACTTGTCTATTAGTGATGCAATTACTAAAAACTTTACACATCTTGAAGCTTGCAACTGCCACATTTATGCCATCTGCCATAGGATGGTAAGACAGGTAAGACAAAATGGGTTGCTGCACAGCTCCATGGTCGACCTACAGCATAGTCCAAATTCAAAATCAGTAGAGAAGCATCCAAGCTATAAGATGGTCCATATACAAAACTGACACTTCCCCAACAGCATTCTAGCAAAGCCTTCCATTGATAATGTTCTTTTCTGTAACACCCCAATCTGCAGAACAACAAATCTGCAGAACAACACTTTACTTGGAAAATCATGTAGGGTTCCTCACATCCTACTCCAAAACACATAGTTTAGAGCTAGAAAAGGTGCTCCAAAGTGCAACCAACAGGATAGCAGGGATGCTTTAGGACAGCTGTTGCTGCTATACTGCCCACCCTGAAACCTAGCAGTCTGGCTCTGTTGTGATGCTGAGTTAAGGAAAAAATGACTATGTCTATGATGCAGGGACTTCCATTCACTCTTCTTTTTGTCAATAATCTTTGAATTCTTAGGTCTTCAGTTGTACACGTTTTTATATTCAAAATACAATTAGCACTGTTCCCAAAATTAATTCCTGTCCATGCAAATTGCCCAACCTTAACCAAGAGCTCTTGTATAAATAAAAGTGCATAATAAGACCCAAAGATTAATACTCTTTTTTCTAATTTACCTTTTATTATTATATACCTTCTATCTAGACCAGTTAATTGATCTACAAATCTAAAACTCTTCATAAAAATTACAGCTTTCCCCCTTGATTTTGATGTTCCACTGTATTTTTCTCTTAATATACAGTATACCTGTTTTCTGTGATGGGTCTCCTGCAGCAATAACACATCAGCACCCAATTTATGTACAATCCACATTTATTCCATACTGTTAGGTGGTAATCCAAGACTATTTGTATTAAAAGAGGTTATATATCACCCATTGTACCATACATTAAATTTACAATTTATATCCCTAATCCTCTCCAGCCAATTACTTAAGTAGTTATTCAAATATGGACTATTAGGAAACAGCAACTGATTAAATTGCAACCATGAAAAAAAGAAACAGCTTGTCTGTATTCCCTCCCCTCTTCCCCTCAGTCCCCTTTCCCTCCTTGCCCAACACCTGACAAAGCCAACATGCCTCATCTTTCTGCAAAACCCTGTCTCATTGTGGACTCCATAAGAGGCCAAAAGTCCTTGCTCCTGAGGATGAATTTCCCCCTCCCTAAGCACCTCCTCCCCTATAAACAGTCCTAAGATTTCCCAAAAAACGAGTCCATATCTGTAATGACCAGCCATCTCTGAGTCCCCACCTCCCAACAGCTGGCAGGGTGCACTTGCCCACCCCGCTTCCCTGGAACCCAAAATCCCAGAGCCAGACACTGGATTCAGCAAATGACAAGTCAAGCTTGGGGAAAAACAGATTTATTAAAAGAACTATACAATAAAGGGATGGATGGTCTTAAAATGCTAC